ACACAGCAGCCCACAAAACAGACCTTTTTGTGGAAAATGAAAATCCATCATTTCTGACGTCTTGAGGGTTGTCAGAGGACCAACAGGACTCCAGATGGAAGAACAGAGAAGAACGGGCTTGCTGGGAATCCAGCTCAGTTCTTAAGAGTGCTTGCCTAGTATGAACAAAGTCCTGGCTTTGATGGTGGCGCACACATCTATAGTCCCAGCACTCAGGACATAAAGGCAGGAAGATTACAATGTCAAGATCATCCTTGGCTACAGTTAGATAATGTCAGTCTGGACTATGTGAGACCCTGCCTCAAAAGCAAAAAGGTGGCTGCAGAGATGGCTCAGTGGTTAAGAAGGCATACTGCCCTTGCAGAAAACCCGCATTTGCAAGTTCAGTTCCCATCTCTCAAGTCAGACACTTCATAACTACCTGTATGTCCAGCTTCAGGAAGAGCATCCCTCTGTGGGCACCTGCACTTAAGTGTACACACACACACTTTAAGCAAACAGAAAACATGCTGAGAAATAATCCCATAAAGTGTTTCCCTTGAAAATACAGGGACCTGAGTTACATCTCCAGAAACCCTTTTAAAAAGCCAGGTGTATAGTCCAATATGATAGCATTAACCTTGATCTAAGCACTGGGGGTGTGGAGACAGGTAGATCTCTGTGAGATTGATAGCCTGATCTACACAGTGAGACTTTCTCTCAACACATAAACAAGCAAACAATAAACAATATGGTGGCCTTGTACATCCAGAACTGGGAAGGTAGAGACAGACAAACCCCTGGGGAATCACTAACCCCCAGCCTAGCCTAATTGGTGAGCGCCAAGTCAATAAGAGATGCCGTTTCAAAACTGATCTGGTGAGTAAAGACTGTGGAGTTGGGGGCTGGAGAGATGGCTCAGCAGTTAAGATCACGGACTGCTCTTCCAGAGGACTTGGGGTTCAATTCCCAGCACTCACATGGCGGCTCACAACTGTCCTGTAACTCCAATATCCTCACACAGATATACATGCAGGCAAAACACCAATATACATAAAAATAAATAAATAATTTTTTTAAAAAAATACTGTGGCATTGTAGCTGGTCTGGTATGTTTGTGCACACCTTGCCCAGCTCTTGGAAGGCAGAGGTAGGCAGATCTCTGTGAGTTTCAGGCCAGCCTGGTCTACAGGGTGAGTTCCAGGATAGCCAGGGCTACACAGAGAAACCCTGTCTTGAAAAAACAAAACACAAAAATAACAATGCTCATCTCCTCTTTATCGCCGCTAGTTTCTCAGCTCTGGCTAACCAGCATGGATTGTCCTAGCAGAGCTAAGATTCACCTCAGTGGTGCCAGTCTCTTGTTGATCACCACTGGGCCTTCAGCCCCAGCTGACCAGAGACACAGATTTGTTTTTGCTTGTTTGTTTGTTTGTATTTTTTTTATTTTGAGATAGGGTTTCTCTGGTTATCCCTGGCTGTCCTGGAACTTGCTTTGTAGACCAGGCTGGACTTGAACTCACAGAGATCTGCCTGCTTCTGCCTCCAGAGTACTAGGATTAAAGATGTGTGTCACTACCACCCGGCTAAGCCACAGATTCTCAATTCAAATATATCTCACAAACAGCCCTGGCAGAGTCTCTAAGGGACTCTTGGTGTGGGAGGTCCTTCTGTCTATGTGTTGCTTTTCTTGGTTAATAAATAAAGAAACTGCCTTGGCCTGTTGATAGGGCAGAACTTAGGTAGGCAGGGAGATGGAACTGAATGCTGGGAGAAAGAAGGGCAGAGTCAGAGATGCTGTGGATCCACTGCCAGAGATAGACATGCTAGAACTTCGTTGGTAGGTCATGACCTCATGGTGATACTCATATTAATGGAGATGGGTTAAATTAATATGTGAGAGTTAGCCAATAAGAAGTTAGAGCTAATGGGCCAAGCAGTGATTTAATTAATATAGTCTCTGTGTGGTTATTTTGGTTCTGGGCAGCTGGGACTAACAAGCGGTTCCCTGCAACAGACTCTCAAACTTGCCTCTGAAATGTCTTTAAGCCAGGCCTTCATCAGCTGCATGGCTGTCAGCATTATTTTCCAAGTTCCCACAAGTTCATTAAGTTCTAAGACTTTAACAACTTTTCCAGCCCAATGTTCCAACTTCCTTGATGGAGGTGGGTCTTGTATCTTATCTGTTGCTTTCATTGGTTAACTAATAAAGAAAAACTGCTTGGCCTGATAGAAAATTAGGTAGGTGGATCAAACAGAACAGAATGCTGGGAGAAAGAAGCCGAGTCAGGCAGTCGCCATGATTCTCCAACCCCAGACGGATGTAGGCTAGAATCCTTCTTGGTAAGCCAGCTCGTGGTGCTACACAGAATATTAGAAATGGGTTAGATCAATATGTAACAGCTAGCCAATAAGAGGCTGGAACTAATGGGCCAAGCAGTGTTTAAAAAAATACAGTTTCCGTGTAATTATTTTGGGTAAAGCTAGCCAGGTGGCGGGAAGTGGCCCGCCACTCCTATTTCAACACTTCCTTACCAGTCTTCCCAGATAATATGTTCAGATCTGTCATAGAAATACCCAAGTCCTAGTGCCAATTTCTGTTTTGTTTGCTTCTATTTATTTATTTGGTGTTTTCTCTGTAGACCAGGCTGGCCTCAAACTCACAAGAGATCCCCTGCCTCTTGGTGCTGGGATCTTCCTGAGTGCTGGGATTAAAGGCATGTGTCACCACTGTCTGGCAGTGTTTCCTTTCTATTGTGATAAAACACTATGACCAAAAGCAACTTGTTGAGAAAAGGGTTTATTTCAACTTATAATTGTAGTCCATTATGAAGGGAAGTCAGCACAGAAAATCAGGGCAGGAACTGAGGCAAGAACTGGAGCGGAGGCCCAGTGAACCCTGTCTTCACTCTGCCACGTGCCAGGCTAAGTCCTTGGTGGGCGCTACTTCTCCACCATCACTGTTTTACAGACAAGGGTATAGGGAAGCGGTGAATTAAGAGGTTCCCTAGGAACCCGGCTGCCCGCTTTCTCAGTCTGCTTCCCTATACAGTGCTGGGGTGTCACTGCCTGCAGTGTGCTGGGTCCTTCCATATCCGTCACTAATCAGGAAGAGGACTGTCTACAGGCTCGTGGGATGGAGGATTTTTTCAGTGGAGGTTCCTTCTTCCCAGATGACCCTAGTTTATGTCAAGTAAGGGTCATACTGGCTTATTAGTCATTGTTAGAGACAATGTCTCCCTAAAAGCCCAAGATGGTCTCTTAAATTCTCAGATTACAGGTATATACCACCATGCCTGCTCTAAGAATTTGTTTCCTTCCCTGGGTTTATTATCATCTTCCTCTGCTGAGAAAGATGGAGGAGATCCCTTTGTACTGTTAAGTAGGTCAGCAACACTTACATTGGGTAAGCCACTTCTGGGGGCTCAGATTTCATTTATATAAAAGGGCACAGAGGTAATGAGGGCGCAGCTCCATGATAGGGCAGGTGCTTGCAGGCTCTGCAGTTAAGCCCCCATGAGAAAAAAAAAGCAGAAGGTACCTCACTACAGTATCAGACAATTACAGTGATCAGATATGGGTTTTTGTTCTGTGTCTCTCTTTTTATCCTGTTTTTTTTTTAATTTTAATTTTTATTTTTTGTGCATTGTTGCTTTTGCCTGTGAGAAGGTGTCAAATCTTAGAGTTGCAGACAGTTGTTAGCTGCCATGTGGGTACTGGGAATTGAACCCAGGTTTTCTGGAAGAGCAGTTAGTGCTCTTAACTGCTGAGCCATGCTCTTCAGTGACTCCCCCCCCCCCCCACCCCAACCTTCCAGCTTAACCTGTTTAAGACTCTTACTATGTAACCATGTAACCATCCTCGGGCTGTCACTTTTTTGTTCTGGTTTGGTTTGGTTTAGTTTTTCGAGACAGGGTTTTACTGTGGCTGTACTGGAACTCTCTTTGTAGACCAGGCTGGTCTCGAACTCACAGAGATCTGCCTGCCTCTGCGGGTTTTTTGGGCGGGGAATTTATTTTTATAACTGTGTATGTGTTTCTGCCAGTTGAATGTAGGTATGGGGAAGAAGGGAGACAGAGGGGTTATCTGGAACTGGAGTTGCAGGAGGTTGTAAATTGACCGATTTGAGTTCCTTACCATACATGATTTTGTCTTCTTCCTCTTTCCTTATTTATGTTTTTTACTTTTTTTTTTTTTTTTGATTTTTCGAGACAGGGTTTCTCCCGTAGTTTTTTTGGTTCCTGTCCTGGAACTAGCTCTTGTAGACCAGGCTGGCCTTGAACTCACAGAGATCCGCCTGCCTCTGCCTCCCGAGTGCTGGGATTAAAGGCGTGCGCCACCACCGCCAGGCTATGTTTTTTACTTTTATTGACTGAGACAGGGTCACACTTTGTAGCTATGTTTGGCCTCACACTCACAGAAATCCCCCTGCCTCTGCCTTCTGAGTTCTGGGGTTAAATGTACTTTTTTTTTTTTTAAATGTGTGTGTGGGTGTTTTGCTGCCCTTCTGTCTGTCAGTCCTTGCGTGCCGGGTGCCCGCCGAGTGTCGGAACCCTGGAAATTGTCTTACAGATGGTTGAGCGCCGCCTGTGGGTGCTGGGACTAGAACCTGGGTCAGCTGAGCTTCCTCTCCAGCCCTTCCACCCTTTATTTTTATACCCAGAGCATCACAAATGCGTGGGAATTATCCTCTCGAGGAGTAGGCGGGGCATGACGGGAAACTCAACCAACAAGACTCAAAACGACTTCCGGCTTGCACTTCCACTTGTGGAACACGGTGAGGGCTCTCGGGGCGTGACGCCGGGAAACTCCCCGGAATTCCCTCGTTCTCCAACTCTATTGGCTTTAACCTTTGGTCACCTGACTCTTCTGACCAATGAGAAGCGACTGAATCTGTACTTCCGTGCCTCTGTGCGGCCAGCGAGCCACTAAGCCCACCCCACGAGTTCTCTGATTGGCTGCCCTCTCAAAGCCCGCTCGCTTATTGGCCAGGGCGGCATCCGGCTATCCAGCGGCAACCTAGAGCTGTGTCAGACAAGCCTAGCAACCCGGCAGCCATGGCGTCTTATTTTGATGAGCACGACTGCGAGCCGTTGAACCCTGATCGCGAGGCCCGCAACAATATGTTGCTGGAGCTCGCGAGGAGAGTGCGCGGGGCTTGGAGCTGGGCCCCGGGCAGCAGGTTTCTGAGCTGGGGCTTGGCGGAGAGGGCGGGTAACCTGGGAGATGGGATGAATAATATGGAAATGTTAGTCTGGGCAACGCGAGTAGACGGGAGTCATTAATTTGGGCCGTTAATGAGCAGGACTCGCCAGGGGATCGTGGGAAGGACTGAGCTGGAAAGGGTGGGAGTCGCAGAGGGAGACACCGGAGAAGATTGTCACGGGGGAGCGGACACGACCTGTGTTTCTGCGCGTAAATTGGATAGATTCTAGCAGTAAGCTGGCACAGAAGTCCACTGCCGCCCCGGAATCAACTTGGCGTTACCCGGTCATTACTGAACGACTTCCTTGAGACCGCTACTTCGTGTAAAATGGGAATGAGCAGCGAGCTAGAGTTGTGTGGTCACACTGCCGTGCTGGTGTTTTTCTTGTGTTTTGTTTTGAGACAGTCTCTATGTATCCCTAACTGGCCTGGAACTTAATACCTAGAAAAGGCTGGCCTCGAACTCACAGCCTCCCAAGTGTTGTGGGAGGCGTCGTCCCGCCCCCACCCCGCCTTTTTTTTTTCCTGAGCTGCTGTTGTGTACTGGTTATTATTAGCTAGGACACGTGTTTTTGTCTGTGTCTAGGGAGTTAAGGGGACCAAAAATGTGTGGTTTCCTTAGTTGTGACATTACCCCCTCTTCCTCAGATCACTCTTTAATAGGATGGACTTTGAGGACTTGGGACTGGTAGACTGGGAACACCACCTGCCTCCACCAGCTGCCAAGGCCGTGGTAGAGAGCCTCCCCAGAACGGTCATCGGTAGCGCCAAGGCTGGTGAGGATACAAGGTCGTCTTTTCTGTTTAGGGCAGATAAGCCAGACCTGCCATCTCCCCCAAGCCACCGCAATCTGGCCTGTTAGTTTTCTAAGCCAAGTCTGGGTCTGAGTGGGAGGTTGGGTGGGGCCTTAACAGTTCTCCTGATCAGCACATCCTCTTCAAGAGCTCAAGTGCCCTGTGTGCCTTTTGGAATTTGAGGAGGAGGAGACTGTCATTGAGATGCCCTGCCATCACCTCTTCCATTCCAACTGCATTCTGCCCTGGCTAAGTAAGGTATTTCATCCAGCCCTTACCCTGCCCTGATAACCAATTCTGAAACTTCAATTTTGGTTATGGACTGAGATGGGAATTAAGGAAGGGTAGGAGCAGGGGTGGAAATCTGGAGCAGGAAAATGCTGGAATACTGTCCTGATTTTTCTAGACAAATTCCTGCCCCCTGTGCCGCCATGAGCTGCCCACTGATGATGATAGTTACGAAGAGCACAAGAAAGACAAGGTAGGGGCTGGTGATTTTGTGGAGGGATACAGTGGGCTTGGTCACCCGTCCTTCCACCTCAGCAGACTCCATGACAGCTGCTCTGTGGCCCTATCCATCAGGATTCAAGCCTGGCCCTGCCCAGCCTGTTGTCTTTCTTTCAGGCTCGGCGGCAGCAGCAGCAGCACCGCCTGGAGAACCTCCATGGAGCCATGTACACGTGAGGCACCATCAGGGCTGTGAGCTCGGCCTCTGTGACATCTATGCCCTTTTGCACTTAGAGTCTTCATTAAAGGTTTCTTTACCCACTCTGCAGGTGCACTGCTCACACGCCCGAGCAGGGGCTCTGCATCCTCAACCCTGCTGCTAATGAGAAAGATGGCAAAGGTCTCAAATGGTAGAAGGTGCCAGGCTGCATTTCCCTTTCTGCTGGCTCTAGACTCTGGGTGGTGGGGCCCTGGTAGCAGCCAGGGCTTGGGTCTGAGTGTTCTTGGTTAGAAGTCAGACTGTGTCAGGGCCTGGCACTTTGTAGCTTTTTGAAACTGATAACTAACTTGCACCACCCCCTTCCGGAAGAATCTAGTTAACCTTGGAACCTTTAGTTAACATTGGAATCCTGGGGGTGTTCTTTAGTTCCACAGAGAAAACTTTTAACATTGTAAAAGTTGCTCTCTGTATCCTGTCCCTGTAGTCCCCGGGTATCAAGAAATCAAAGTTCAAGCCAGACTGGGCAGGGAAAGAAATTAAGACTACAAAGCCAAGCCAGGTCTTTAGCTTGTTTAGACTCATAAAGGGGGCCAAGGTTTTGAGAGTGGGTTTCTATGTGGCCCTGGCTGGCTGAGCCTGGTCTATACAGAACTTAGGAGATCCTCTACCTCCTAGCTCCCCATTGCTAGTATTACTGGTATGTACCACCATGTCCAGACCCTTCTGATGTATTTAGATGGCACCTGTCACTCTTAGTTACTGGCAACCCTCAAGAATCTTTCCAGGATGAAAGGGTTTCTTCTCATCCCTACCTACTGGATCAGACCCTCCCTGATTCTCCAGAACAGACTGCAAACATGCAAATTAGAATTCTTTTAATAGATATAAAAAAAGTACTAAAATACTCATGTGGTTCTGCTGTGTTATTTGCCCTAAAGGAAGTGAGGGACAGAGTGAAGAACCCAAATGCAGCTGGGTGGGCCTTCCCTTATGCTAAGGCATGCTCCTCCCATCATCCAGACTTATGGGCCCCCGCTGCCCCAGCCCCCAATTCCTGCAACAGGAAACCCCAGTGGTCTGGCTCTGGCACTGGGAGTAGAAGGCACCTGAAGGGCTGGCAGGGCAAGTGAGGACAGGTGACCTTTAACTCAAAATACTGCTCTGGTATGGGGTAACAGGACATGGAGCAGAGCAGCTGGTGAGACCACGCTCCTCTATGGCACAGGTGGATGTTGGATGGCCACTTCTCCAAGAGTGAGGAAGCCTAGATCCCAACAATACTCTAAAAAATTGTTTTTGGTACAAAAGAAATGCAAAGAAGGTAGAGGGTGTGGGTACCGCGGAGGCTGGGCCAGCCACCCTCCAGACTCAGATCATGGCAATACTCTCAGGAGCACAGTTGAGGTGGGTAGAGGTGCTGCTGCTCCCAGAGGACTTACAAGCCCTGCCAGGGGTGGGCTGCAGGGCAGCCACCAGTGTGCCTGAGGAGACTGTCCCAAACTCATAGCTAAAGGTGCCATAGAAAATGAGGATATCGAGGACAAACACCCATTCACACAGGGCAGCCCCATGCTGCAGCTGAGAACTCTCGTGGAAGAAGAAGACTCCACCTGGAGTAGGTAGGGTTAAGGAAAGGTTCAATGGGATGTGTGGACTTGGCAGCACTGTTCAGCCATCCCGTATATTTAAGTATGCTGAGGTAAAGGCTCAGACCTCATAAGGAGACTATAGGACAACGGCCACTGGGCTCAAGATCCCACCCCTACCCCCGACTTGGGTGGGAGAAGGGTTGAGCTAAGGGGATGAAGTCCTGGCTACCCTGTCCCAGAAGGATACTAAGGACCAGGGTGATGAAGGCGATGACAGCTAGCACACTTCGCAAGTGGGCCATAGCCAGGTCCAGGGTGGTGGTGGCCCCATGGTAGAAGAGAACACATTGCAGGCACACAAAGAGCAGCCCAGCAAGGAGGGCCACACCGGCTCCGATGTAGTGTAGAGACTTGGCATGGTCCACCTGGCTCAGACAGGGGCTAATCCATGAAGTAGCCCCACCTCTCTTCCCCATCCAAAGCTTCTCTTTCCCTCCTCACCCCCTCCCTTCCTGGATCAGCCCCCAGGCGCTGCCCATGCAGGCAGCTAGACCCTATTAAGGGGAGGTAGGGAGGAGGCACCTGAAAGTTGCCGACCACCACAAGGCCCGCAGCATTGGTGCAGCCTGTGATGAGTGCTGTGGTGTTAATCCAGGAGTGCCGGTTCTGCTCCAGGAGCTGCCCATAGCGAAGGAGGCAGATCAGGGCCACTAGGGGAAGACAGTAATGCTGTGGCCAGTTCCTGGCCCTCCTCCAACCTTCCCAGCCTGCTCTCCAGCCTCTTGCTGAGAGCTACAAGGTTGTGGACAAGAAGGTAGGACTGTTTTTGTGTCCTTCCCGCCAGTGCCAGGCTTTTATCCAGGGCAGCTAAGATTAGTTAGCATCTGGTCTTCAGTGAACTGGAGAGAAGTTGCCCCTTCACCAGCTCTTGGTGATCAGAGTAAACATTTCTGGGTGTTTTTGGAGATGAAGGTAGGGATGTTATAGTATCACTCACCCATAAAAGCACCCACGTTGCCAATGAGGCTGAAGAGGCAGCTCTCTGGGGGATATGTTCCAGACTTGCTGAGGGGAGGGGTGAGGACAGTGAGGCAGGAGTACCCATGGCCCTCTTCACCCCTCCCACACCCTCTGAGGGGGCTTTATCTGTACTTGGTCCTTCAGCAGGGAGCCTCTGATTTAAATAGAGCTCACGTGTAGGAGAGATAAAGAGGTGTCCCAGGTGCCTGGCAGATCTGAGACTCCTTGCAGCCTGCAGCTGCTCTAAATCTCCTTGAGCTTGTTTTGGGCACTCAGAAGTGCTGACCTTAAATCCAGGTACTTCCATTGGCTAGCTGTATAACCAGAATGAGTATCTCCAAGCCTCTGTTTCCACATCAAAAGTGAAAAGAGATCCTAACCTGAAGATGGATGGAAAGGCACTACTGGCATATAAAACTCAGCAGAATGCCCAGTCCTAGAAATAGCAAGTAGTGCATTTATTCCTTTGAAACAGGGTCTTACATTGCTCAGACTAGCCAAAAACTAGCTGGGATGACCTTGAATTTCTGACCCTCTTGCCTTACTCTCCAGAGTGCTGGGATTGTGGGCCTGGGCTACCACATCTAGTTTTATGTGGTGCTGGGTTTTGTGAATGCCAGGCAAGCATTCTGCCAACTGAGCTACGTACTGAGCTACATGCCCAGGCTCCCTTGTCTCTGTTCTTCCCTGAGACAGGGTCTCACACAGCACAGGCAGGTCTGGAATTCATCTTCCTACTTCTCAAGTGCTAGGAGTATAGCCCTTTGCCACTAGCCTTGGTAATATTACTTGGCTAAGTGTGTTTCATCTTGAGATCCAGAGATAGTCCTTTGCTTGAGGGGGTTTCTGAAGTGCAGAGGGACCTAGAGTCTGTCCAGTTTCCAGGACCTACCTGATGAGAGGAACGTCGTCAAGGGTGCAGCAGGTCTTAGGGCCCCCTTGTTCAGTGGGGTCAGGAGAGCAGGACTCGTTGTAGGACCTGGCAGGTAGGACACAGGGTAGACTGGGAAGGGGTATCTCAAAACCTTGGAAATCTTTCCGACCTCCCCAGGGCCTTCTTGGAGCATAAGTAAAGAGGATGAAGGGATGATGGGAAGTGGATGGGCGGGTAGGATGTCATGCCTGGAGACCAATGTCAGGGAACAGCAGTGAGGACTATGGTCTCCATGTGGCTTGTGGGCTCAAAGAGGGACAGAGATGAAGGGAACTTGAGAGTGAGGCCATCTGCAGAATGTTCCATACCAGTTTTCCACTGGGCACACGTGGCGGTTCATCACGGCCATGGCATACCTGTGGAAGCAGAACTTCCTGTCACCTGTCCCCATGGTTCTTCAGGCCCAGCCACCCCCTACTGGCTCTTTGACTTTTGACCTAATTCAGCCTCACTGTCCCTGCTGTCATTTGGTGGGGTGAGGAGGTAGGTACTGATGCTATAGCAGACCCTGCAGAATTGCCTCCAACCAAAGACCCTCTGGAGGTGTCCTGCCTAGAAGTATATGTCGGAGCTGTCTTGCTGGACTGCAGTGGTGCCAGCTTGTCTCACGAGGCTGTGTGCCCAGGAATCAGGCCAAGCTTTGGAGACAGAGTGACCCTGGGTACCTACCATTCTGGAGCCTACAAACAGGTCAACAGATTTTTTTTTTTCAACAGATTTTTTTATGTGCAATCAAGGTCCTGTTAGAGCCCCCCCCCCCCCCCTCGACCCACACTCCTCTTACTTACACTGTCCATATGCCCGTGATGGAGAATGCTGACAGGCTGACAGGCAGGAGGATCCAGGCGGTCATGAGGGAGTGGAGCCAGGGTGGTGGTGGTTTGGGGGTAAGGACAACAGGTAGGTGGGGAAGAGGGGGCAGGCCCAGCTACCTTGAGATATTTCAGCCACAATCATCAGCTGCCCTGGCCTGGTGGGGGAGAGAGATCAAGGTCCAGGGTCTGGTGACTGGCCAGGGCGGGGGGAGGGGAAGGGTGGGCAACACTTCACCCAGAGCTCTCCCTGGGCTTTCGAGCGTCCAGATCGTGGCACCCTCTGGCTATCCATCTGGGGCCTCCGCGAGATTTACTCAAATGCCACCGGCGCGCTGAGACCCTCGGGCAAGGCTGTAACATCTGGAAAGAGAGCCAAGCTCCCCGACCTGAGGGACACCGGCTCGGTGGAGGCTGGAGCTAGGACAATCATGGGGATCATGCCAAGGAAAGCCTGGAAGGGTTCGCCCGGCCGAGAAAGCGGCTGCGAGGCGTTGGCGTGCGGGCAAACCACCTGACCACCGCGCCCCGGCAAAGGGGCGGGTTCTCGAGGGAAACCCGACCGGGTCTCGCTCGGGTAGGCACAGGGACCCCAGCTTGGGTAGGAGTCTGCAGTCAGCGACAACTCCCCTCCCTCCAGAGTCCGGCTCCCCAAGGCGAACCCTTAGTGGCCGAGAGAGAAAAGAAGTCCAGTACGCACCTCCCCGGAGCGCCCCGCCGCCGCTGCCGCTCCCTGCTCGGCCCCCTCGTGGCTGCGTCTCCAGCTGCGGCCCTCGGAGCAGCCCTGAAAGGTTTAAAGGGCCGAGCGGCCCCGCCCCTGGCGGCCCCAGGCCCGCCGCGCCGCCCGCCGGGACGTGGAGTCCGCGTAGCCCCGGCCCCGGTGCCGGCGCCCCGCCCGAGACTACAACTCCCGAGCCCCCGCGGCAATGTCACGGGGGAAACGTGGGCGGTACCCTAAGTCCAGGGGACCTGGGCGCCGGGGGCGATGGCCCGGACACCTCTGATCTAGAGGGCAGTTGTGTTTGTCATTCCTGCGGTGGGAGTGCGGGCTGGCCGACCCTGCAGCTCCGCCCGTGACTGTAGCCTGTGGCTGTCATCGTACACGTGGCTGAAAGAAGCCTTCCTCCACTGCCTCGGCCGACTGTCAAGGCTTTGGGGAGGCTCTCCCCTACCTCAATGTGGCGCCCCAAGCCTGCCACAATCTTGACAGGCATGAGGCAGGTGGATGAGAAGGCAAGTATCAAACCTGGTCCTGGCTTAGGAAACCCAAAGCATGTTGGATTTGGTTTTGCCCACCCCACCCGCTTCCCTCCGACCCGCCCCATTAGCAAACTTTGGAAGAAGGCTGCTTTTAATTTTATTCTGGGGGCATACAAGAACACAGAGTACTGGCCAGAAGTCACTGTGTTCAAGATGTTTCCCGACTAACGACTCAACACTTAAATAAGGTTTAGGGTACTAAAGGATATCCATTTTAAATACATACAGGTGCCTGTGTAGGGCCAGTAAAGATGAACACACCCAGGTGCTCTTTGCTAGAGGGAAAGGTGAGGGACTAAATGGAATCTGGGAAGAGATAATAGGGAATAAATTACCCATTAGTCTCCCTTCAATTGATGGGCTGAGAGTGTACCCGGAACATTCTCTCCATGAAGGAAAGGGCAGGCTATGTCCTGTGGTGTGATAGGTGTGCCTGGCTCTGCCTATGAGGCAGCCGAGCAGTGGGGTCCCCGTGAGACCACTCTTAGGAGAGTCATTATCCCAAGGGAGCACAATCTCAGGCTGGTAGAGGCGGGAGATAGACTGGTGAAACCAAGGTTAGCTTCACAAAGTCCCTTGTGCTGAAGCAAATAGAGCAGAACACGCTGTGGATTGGGGCTTGGGGCTTCAAGAGGAGAAACCTTGCGGGGAGCCAAATGGAGGACAGAAATGTATTGTATAGGAAACCACTGAATGGCCATTTCCCCCTTACCACCAGGACTTATTAGGGAAAGCAAGATCGAGAAACATGACTGTGCAATCATTACTGGACAAGACGAGCTTGGCTGAATGGACAGGGGTGGTGGTGGTGGGTATAAAATCCAGCCCAGCTTCTGACTGTAGGGACAAAGGTTCAGCTCTCAGTAACACAGAAGTAGTATCTTCCTGTCCCACTGCATTCCGACCTAGCCAGGTACCTTCTTATATGTTCAAACAGGACTATGACCTATCGCTGAAAGCTGCTCCCCTTCCCCCCACATAGTGTCTATTATGTAATCCAGACTGGTCTCAGACTAATGATCCTTCTGGCTTTGGCCTCGAGTGCTAGGATTACAGGCATGTAGCACCACACCTGGTTAGCTTTTTTTTCCTTCCCCTCAAGATAGGGACTGTGTAGTTCTGCTGCTGGAACTCCTTGTATCTGGCTGGTGACCTTTTATTTTTAAAATTATATGTGATTTTTTTATTCCTTTCTATGTATGGTGTTTTGCCTGCAAGTCTGTGCACCACATCCTTGTAATGGATCCTCTGGGACTAGAGTTATGGTTGTGTGCTGGGAATTGAGCCTTTGTCCTCGGGAAGATTATCAAGTGCTTTTAACCGCTGAGCCATTTCTCTAGCCCCCAAATTATAATCTTTCAACTCAAGAGATTTGCCTATCTCCGACTCTTCGCCCAGGGATTAAAGGTATGCTTCACCAAGCTCAATTTAGCCTTTAACTTTTGACCATCATCCTGCCTCTGTCCTAGTACTGCTACGACAGGACTCCATGGCCTTGACATTTATTTAGCTTTGCAATTCCTAAAGCTCACCGCATCCTACTGAGTTGGATTTGTCTCTCTATCCCATCTTCACAAGCACTGCTGACTATTCTGACATGGTGTTGAGGTCACCTGCACTCTGGAGCTTTGCCACTGGAGGCACTTTGAGATTTACTAGGTCAACCCGAACAATCCCTAAAACTCTTAAGATACAGGTCCTGATGAGGACCAGCTTGTTTATGGACATCTGGAGGAAGCTGCCTAAGAGGACAACAGTAGGACCAGATGGCTTTAAAAGTTTCAACTTTGATGCTCTGTGAGTCTAGCTGTTATACTCTGACCAGAGCAGCTCTTAAAATAGTGAGCCCAGCAAGAGATGAGATTTTCAGTGCTGATTCGGTAGTGGAACGACTTTAGGGCAGGCATTTAACCTCCTGCCCCAAGTACACAAGTGATTTCACAACTCTTGGCAAAAACAGTGCTGTAAAAATAGTTTATTCGGTTAAAAAAGTACTTTCCACAATTTTGAAACAATTTTCATAATTCATTTTATTTATACAGAAACACCGGAAATGAGAATGTATGGCTTTTTCTGTTTAGCACCACACAGCTGGTACACTCCTATGTGGTTTTGCTTTGTTTTTTGCTGTATAGTTTAGGCAGTTCTCGAATGGACAGTGCTCCTCCTGTCTGAGTTTCTTCAACTGTTCACCACCACTCCCAGACTCTTGTTTGGTTGGCTCTGGGAAGAGGAGCCCTTTACTAGAAAGTTCTCACTTGTAGTTTCACTCCAGCTCCTATGGAAATCTGGGCTGGATGCCTAGGGCTCCCAGGGATAGGATAGGAATATAACTGAATTAAGGTTTCAAATAACTGTCAACATTCCACAAGATTCCCCAAAATCTCAGAGGTAGGAAAGTCATCTGTCCTTCACACAAAGGTCTCATTTAAGTTTGGGTTGTCTGGGAAGCACCACCCTGCCATTCAGACCTTGTCAAACACACAGCAGGTTGGCATACTTACCCCAAAGGGGTTCAAGCTATCTGGGTTGATCTAGTTAGTAGTACACCCCAGATGACCAAAGAGATGGGATGTTCTTCCACATTGACTAGACCCACCATGGCTGGACTGTAGCGGACCATATACTACTCACATCATATACATTTTGTATCTTTTCCCTTCCTGCACTATACTCTTCAGAGACTTTCATGCTTGCCAGAGGGCTGCAACTCCAGCTTTATCATTTCTACTTGCATAGCCTAAGGCCCCTTGCAAAACCAGCTCTCTCACGAATTTCATAAACTCTGACTCAGGAATTACAAAACTGTGAAATATGGGCTTAATTCTAGTTAAGAACTGAGGGGAATAAACATTCCACAGAGAGTAGGAATGAGACTTTTTGTTTGATACAAGGTCTGTAGTTCAAGCTAGCCTCAAACTCAAGGCTTTTTTTTTTTTGGGAGGGGGGTTTAACATGGGGAGTTGAGACAGGGTTTCTCTACATAGTCCGGCCTGTCATGGAACTTGCTATGTAGACCAGGCTGGCCTCAAACGCAGAGACCTTTCTGTCTCTGCCTCCCAAGTGCTGGGATTAATGGTATATGCCACCATGCCTGGTTATATGGCAATCCTTTCACCTCAGCCTCAGATGCTGGAATTACAGGCATGTGCTCTCCTACCTGACCCAGCCTCCCTTGCCCCCCGTATTCTCCCCCACTCCCACCAAAAAAAAAAAAAAAAGACAGCCAAGACCTTATCTACTCAAATGAGTGCTGACCCTGAAGCAGTTGCTGTTAAGTTCTGCTTATAGCACACTGCTTCTACTGTGCCACAGCACGGCACAGTTCTGAGAGCTCACTATGGCTGTAAGACATCTAGAAGCAGGTCTGCCAAATGAACTGAACAGTACTACCATGGACCCCAGAGGAGATGAGAGTGACGTAGCCAAGCTATGAGGCTGAAGACGCAGCCCCCGGCACTTCAGGGGTGCTGGAGAAACAGCAGCAGCTCCGACAGGCTGGCTCAGAATGACGGCTTTCTGTTAAGTGCAGGTCTGCAGCTTTAGGACAAATAAGCTAAGAATCAAGAAGGCTTTCTTGGCTAGAAAATCTTTCATACACCCGATAAGCAAAATGCTTCTGGGAAAAAGGCTGAGAGGAGTTTCTATCAGTCACCCTTCTGAGGTCTTTGTGAGGCTCATATAAACACATAAAAGGACTACACTGAATGCTGTGTTCTTCTCTTTCTTCCTTTTCCAAGAAATGGGATTAGAGGCAAATTTTTAGGTGCTGGGTCCTCAGATTCCTCTTCAGGTCTTTTTTTCTAAGTTCAATAACTGAACCAGGAAATAGGAAAGAAAGCTCTAAGAACGCAAACCCCCCAAAGCAGCCAGAGTTCCAGTGAATCCTGTGTTTCAAGTCAGAAAAGGACTGATTAACTGGAGACTAAAATGACCTGCTGGATGAAGAGCATGGAGTTTGGCAGAACCTCCTTCACCCTGGAGGTTCTGGATGGAATTTAACCATGCAGGTCCAAAGGCACTGACAGCACATGTGCGCAAGTGCAGGGGAAAGGCGCTTTCCTTTGACAGCAGAACTGGGCTTAGGACCAACATGCTTAAGGCACTTAACCCTGGGATCAGCTCTCTGGGTCTAGAGCATTTAGGTCCCCAGTCACACCCACAACCAGGCCCTTCTAACTTACCACCTAACTCACTGCCCCAGAATTCCTCTGCATGGCAAGCTGTGACTTACTGTTTTAATGACATCAAGATGCCCAACCCCATTACATCTGTTTTCATCGGAGTGGGATAAAACCCAGCAGCCCCTAAGTATCCTTAAAAACTACTGAGCTGATCGCTAGAATGAGGGTCTTGAGAGCCTTGTGTAGAAACCCCCGGGGCAGAGGGTCTGGTTGTAGGCAGTCTCTGTGCTCACAGGCTCTTTTACAACTCACATTTCAAGCTGCTCAAGTTAGGCTCATTTCCTGGAAATCCTAGTGCCTCTGAATTCCTGTGCACAGGATGTGTTGTGGACTTCAGACCTTAGCCTAATCTTGTGTTGGAAAACGTCCCCTGTTGGAAAACTGCTATGTCTGGAGATCTTTACCCAGAGGACCTAAGTTACATTTTTTTTTTCTTGAAACAACTTAGGTTGGACTTTAACTTGCAGCAATCTTCCTACTTTGGCCCCCTGGGGTTACAAGTGTGCATAACCATGCTCAGATATAATCTGGGGAGGTAGGAAAGCATCGGGTGAAGAAGTGATCATATCACTTCATCTATTATGTTCTTTAGGACTCTCTTTTTGCAACTACAGGCCACCTCCCCCAAAGGCAATTATACCTATTGTCAACTTTCCCAACTTCAGTAATTCAAGACTGTTAAGCCATAATTGGAGAGTTATTTTCAAATTTGTTTTGATAATTCCCCTCTAGTCTGAGCAGATGGTATATTCTGTTTATAGCTGGGGAGTGAATTTGGTAGACCTAGCCATTTGAGACAGGGTCTCTCTTCAGAGCCCTGTCTGTCTGTCCTGTAACTCCCTCTGTTCCAGGCTAGTCTTGAACTCACAGGGAGCTGCCTGCTTCTACCTCCTGAGTGCTGGGATTAAAGGTGTGCATCACCACTCCCAGCAGGAAGGTTTTTCAACAGATAACTGAAGCTTAGCTCAGCATCTTCTTCCTAGGTCTCCTACACAGACGTCTACACAGTCAAAAGCAGTGGGGCATATGAGCAGTTTGGGAAAGTCATGGAAGGGGAAGGAGATATGTTCCCAAATAGGCCTCAAAAACAAAGTTCTCCTGCTTTATTGGCATCAAAATTACTTGGAGAACTTGGTAGGAAAGCAGGCTCCCAGAATCCCCACTTCCAAATTCCTGAGTGGTCGAGAAACAGTCATGTTGGGAGGGTGGAGGAAATGGATTCTACCCATGGCAAAAGATAGGAGAAAGGAAAACTGACAACTGGTCTAGGGGAAGCTGGGTGGATGAAAGTAGAACATCAAAGAACCACAAAATATCAAATATGGCTCAGGAAAGGGCCTGGCAAATAACCTCATCAAGATAGCAGCACATGGGCAAAGGTTTCATAAGCCCTGGTTCTCCTTGAACTCTCTGCTCCCAAAACACCAAGTTAGCCAAAACTGTCCATAAAATTCCAGAATGTTAGGTCAGACAAATGGGCCAATACACAAGAAACAATGGCTGTTGGGAGGTAGGCCAGATGTGGTCCTGCAACCCCCTTGTGGTTACAGCAGCTTGGAGAGGGAGGACAAGGATCCCTGAAGATCATATAGACTGGTCCTGGTACCCTCAAACTAGAGGTGAGCTCCCTGGGCAAAATTCTGCCAAGTGCAGTGAGTCCTGCCTGAATGCCTTCAAGCTGGTCAGTGTTGGCTCTGGCGCTTTGCAAGCTCTTCCTGGATGCGCAGTCTGAGGGCCTCTCGCATGGCTGGGTCCAGAGGTGAATGTGCTGATACTTCCTCAGTCACCCTTCTGGGGTCATCATCCTACGCAGAGGAAGAGTCAGGAAGCTCAGAGCCAGTCTCTTTCAGGAAAGTGACCTGCCCTGTTCCTAGACAGCATTCTCATAGGATTCTCATTTCTCAGGAGTCCCCTGTAACAGTGATTCACAGCTGAGAGTCATAAGCTCTTGCTGTCCCCGCAACTAAGAATCGCTGTGTGCTGAGAAAGTTGTACCTCTGCCACTGCCCAGCAGTCCCATGGGGAAGACATGTTTTCCCACTGGCCGTGACATAAACATCGGCTCAGGGACTAGCAGTAGCTTCCATCATGGCCCGGGACCTTCAAGCTGCAGCTGTTTCCAGAAGGCGTACCTGATACACAATGACTGATGTGACCTCTCCACTGTCTGCCTCATATTCTAAGCAGAAGAGCTGGCGGCCAGAAGGCTCCAGCTCAGAGCTTCCAGTACTGCTGCTTTCCCCCGACTCTTCACAGTCTGGGTTGACTAGGTGGGCAGAGCCATCTGTAAGGGCAAACCAGAATGAGAGGGAAAAGGGGGATGCTGCTAAATCCCCTACCCACAGAAATCATCAGAAAAAGGGCACCAAGAAAGGCTCCAGGCTTCCGACAGACTCTGGGTATGCATGTTTGTTTTTTTTTTTTTTTTTGGTTTTTTTTCGAGACAGGGTTTCTCTGTGGTTTTGGAGCCTGTCCTGGAACTGGAACTAGCTCTTGTAGACCAGGCTGGTCTCGAACTCACAGAGATCCGCCTGCCTCTGCCTCCCGAGTGCTGGGATTAAAGGCGTGCGCCACCACCGCCCGGCCGGGTATGCATGTTTGTGAACACAGTGTGTGCGTTTGGGGAGCTGTCAATCAGGATTTTAACTTTTCTATCTTTCTCTACTCTAGAATAGTTCTGTTAGAAAGTAGGTACTCTTGCACATGTCTCCAGCACATATCACTGGAAGCTGCTGGAAGGATGGGCAGAATTATGCCTCGGTTCAAATCCAAGCTCTGACATGCTGGACAACCTAACATTTCACCTCTTTAGACGGTGAAACAGAAATAATAGTTCCCAGCTTATGGTGTTCTATGGACTCAACGAGTTAATGCACTCAGGATCTAAACCCTCTATAAATAACAGCACACCAACTTGGTGTCATATGTTAGTTAATTTGAGTGTATGGTCACAGGAAAACCGGGAAAAGGCCATTTGCTTGGTTCACTTCAATTTATGTACTGGCCGCTTATGTTTTTAACTCTCAGCCAGGCTTTCTCTCTTCCAGGTGGTAGGAATATTAAAATACAGCATGGCAGACCACACCGGTGGACAGTGATTTCTGGTAGGGTCCCATGTACCTTCAGTGTTGCTTAACTGGGGTCACGAGCCCTGGAGCGGAGATCTGAGGGCGCTGAGGCAGTGGCTTCTGTGAGGGCTGTGACAAGGGGGACGTGGGCCCTGACACAGATAAAAGGGGCTCGCCCAGGGGGTGGGGCTTGCCGAGGGGGTGGGGCTTGCCCAGGGGGCGGGGCCTCGGTCTGGCTGCTGCTTACCTCGGTGACGCGGCAGGTACACCGGCAGGTCTGGCTTGCGGGGCCGCGTGGGAGCGGGTGTGTGGCGCCTCCTCGCCTTCTCTTTGGCCTGCTTCACCTTCTTGTCGTAGTCGTCCCTGCGGGGAGCCGAGCGGGAGTCAGGCTCTGTCACCTGGCCGAACCGGGCCGGGCCGGGCCTGGGGCGGGGCGGTACCGAGCGATCTGGTTCCGGCGGATGTGATGTACGAAGCCGTGGCTCATGTCCAGACGCCCCCCGGGCTTGCAGCACAGTCCCCGACCTGGATCCCGTGCCGCCTCCATCCGGATCCTGGGCGCAGAGCCGCAGCAACCGTCACAACAGCCGCGGAACTCAAGTCGCCAGCTGCGGAGCCCGACTTCCGGCTGCGGACTGCGACTTCCGGCTCCGTTGCACTTCTTCCGGTTGCGTAGGCGCCAGTGTTTTAGGAGTTTAGGAACCTGGTTTAGTGGAGCACCATTAGGGCGGGAGTTTCGCTTTCATTGTAATATCACCAATCCGAAAGAAGAATTTTATAGCTGATGTACCAGGAAATTATAAAAAATGCGAGTCGTCCACGAACATTGAAAACTATTGTTAGAGATGTTTTTTTCTTTTCTATCCTTTTAAAATTAGTTCTTTAGTGTACAGTACAGTGAGCTTCATTATGAGATCAAATTTATGTGTATATGTGTATCTGCTTTGTTCGTATAAGGGCAGATTCTGCTCATGAGAAAGTGATATCTTGTCATTCCCATCACCTTTGCTCCTTCTCTCCCTTTAGATCTCTACCTTGACTCTTATAGTTCTTTATCTCTCTCTCTCTCTCTCTCTCTCTCTCTCTCTCTCACACACACACACACACACAATTAAATCTATGCTCTGCCTGTGGAAAAACATGCAGTATTTGCGATCAATCTTTCCAAATCTTACTGAATGCGCTTAACACGATTTCTAGATTCACTATTTCTTTGCAAATGACTATTTCATTCTTTGTGGCAAAGAAAAAAGAAAATGTTATATGTGCCACTTGATTGACTCTGAGCCAACTGTGCCTAAGTTTCTTTCCTTTTGTGTGTTTGAGTGTGCGGTGTAGGCCAGAGGAGACTGCCAGGTTTTCTGGTTTGTATTCTCTATTTTTTTTTTTTTTTTGAGATACGGTCTCACTGAACCTGTAGTTTATCTGGCAGCCATCAAGCACCAGTGGTTCTCCTGTCTCTCAGGTAGCTAAGTCCCTCCCCCCATACTCAGCCCCTATTCCAGCAACATTGGGGTTGCATTGTCCCAGCCCAGATCACTTGCTTAACTGTCTTCATGGGAGGAAGCAAGGCTTTTTTTTTTTTGTTTTGTTTTTTTTTTTCGAGACAGGGTTTCTCTGTGGCTTTGGAGCCTGTCCTGGAACTAGCTCTTGTAGACCAGGCTGGTCTCGAACTCACAGAGATCCGCCTGCCTCTGCCTCCCGAGTGCTGGGATTAAAGGCGTGCGCCACCACCGCCCGGCTGAAGCAAGGCTTTTGAGGGTCTAATATGTACAGCTGTCTCTTCCTTCTTTCCTTCTGCTATACAGCTCAGGATAGTCTCGAACTAACTCTGTAGCCCAGACTAGCCTTAAACTTTGGGAATCTTTCTGCCTCAGCTTGAATGGATATTTTTTTTAAGTCCTTGTTTTAAATGTGAAAAGTAGGAACTCATTATTAGAACAGTGACAAACTCTTGTACAACTGTGTGATGGAATATTGCAATGCAAAGTAAGGAACAACTGTCTATACAGTTGTGAAAGAGGCCAGGTCAGAGAGAGTTAACACTGTATAGCACTTGAATATGAAATTCTAGGCAATGTGGTCACCCAGTGGTTTGGGTAGGATTCCACAGGGGCACAAGGGCATTTCTGGAGTGAGACAAGTTTCCTCTCTGGATTATGGCAATGGATTCACAAATGTTCACACATCACAATTTAGCACATTACACTGACCAGACAGACATGCAGCACTTTGTCAATTCTACTTCAATGGAACTGTTCCAATAGGTAGGACTAAGGCATGGCTCAGTGGTCAAACTGAATTTGGAGTTTTATTAACTAAACAATAAATGAGCCCTGGCAGAGTATTTGCAATTTCCTTATTTCAAGAGCCCTCTAAATGTGGTACTAATTGAAGTTCCCAGGTACAAGTCTGAATGAAAGGTAATTTGGGAATACTGACTCCTTTTCCTGTATAGGACATCAGTCCCGGATCAGGGGACATCTCTGGATTGTCGTTTCGAGACACAAACTGTCCTGAAGATATCTAGGGTCGAATGCCAGCTTCCTTTCTTCTACAATCACCGTAACCCGTGAAAGGTTCCTATCTCTTTAAGCTGTGACGAGCAGCTGTGAAGCAGCAGGTTCATAACTGTCTCAACAGGGCGGGTAGCGCCTGTAAGGGTCCTGCCGCGTGTGTTGTCCCTCTCAGCGACTCGTAGCGAGCTGTGCTTCTGAGGCCAGCTCGGCTCCTGATTGGCTGCGTGTCCCCAGCGTGCGCGGCTCCGGCGCGGAAGCTCCTAGCGGCCGGCGGCGATGTCTAGCCGGTCTAAACGGCAGTCTCATGGTTCCACCCGTGGGAAGCGCGATTCCGAGTCGCGGGGTAGCTCGGGTCGCATCAAAAAGGAGCGAGACCGCGAGCGGGAGCCCGAGGCGGCGAACTCCCGGGCCAGCCCGGTCCGCGTGAAGCGGGAAGCCGAGCCGACTGCGCGGGAGGTTCCGGCGTCCGCGCCCCCGGCGGTGAGGGTGAAGCGGGAGCGCGAGGCCGACGAGGACTCGGAGCCCGAGCGGGAGGTGCGAGGTGCGCGGGGCCGGGCAGGGCGCGCCCTCCATGCTCGCCTGTTTTCTTCTTTTCTCCTTTTTCTTTTTTTGAGACAGGGTCTCAGAAACTTGCTGTTGTAGCCAGGGATGACCTTAGATTCCTTTACTGAGCTCTGAGATGCCCATTTTTCGCCTGCCTTTTACTTTTCCTTACTTTCTGTGCTTCCCTGCCCGAGGTTGAGTCCAGACAGGACTGTTTTCAGATGAAGACTGTTCTAATCTTCACGTTGTCACGATACAACACAACCCCCCTTTATCGAATAGCGCACTTGGGTCAGGTGCTCTGTAAATAAATTTACAGATGTTCCCCTCTCCAGCTTTTGCAAAGTTCCAATATCTGGAGTAAGCCGGTTCAGTCGAGATCTCTGTGCACCCGATTAAAGTACTGACTTTGTATTAGTTCAGTATGGAGACAGTTCTGCTTCTGGGTTTTGCAGGAGGTTGTTGTAGGACTTATATATTGTCTTGTCAATGATGTTGATACAGTCAATAGCCTTAGGAGAGAGATTGTATTATTCTATAGATTGTATTATTCAAGGGCTAGGTTTAATGGTGTACACCATCATACATGGTGAAAAAAAAGGGTTAGTGCATTTATTTATATGTGTGTACGCATGTACCATGGTGTACATGTAGAGGGCAGAGGACAACTTGTGGCAGTCAGTTCTCTCTTCCTACCTTGTAGGTCCCAGGGATTGAATTCAGGTAGCTAGGCTTGGTGGCAAGTACCTTAGTAAGCCATCTTGCTTGCCTGGATTTCTTTATGTAATACATGGATTAATCTTTTGTTGGTTATGTATGTAATAGATCTACTCTTAGTTTGTACCTTTTTAGAATGTTGTCACTACAAGAAAAGTAAAAGCTTTCCCTAATCTTAGTTGATCAAATTTTTCCATTTCCATGGGAAACAGAAACAAACAGAACACAGTGTGCCTGTGATTTGAGTATTTTCCTGTTCTCTATTTATGTTTCTGTGGAAGAGCGAATCCTGCCCTTACTAGTCAAGTGCTCTTCCACTGAGTTACATCCCAGCACAAGTTTTCCATCTTAAAGTCTGTGATCTCTTTCTTCTCAGCAAAGAATGGCCGAGTGGATTCTGAGGACCGGAGGAGTCGTCACTGCCCATATCTGGATACCATTAACAGGTCAGTGATAGAAAGAGGATGAGGAGAAGGCTTGGGGATATATCTCAGCAGCAGAGCACTTGGACTGGCCTGTCAGAGGCCCAGGGTTTAATTCCAGTACCATACAGTCAAAAATCAGTGGGTTTTGATATGCAGAATATAGTAAAAATTTTGTCGAAAATTCTCCAAACTGAGCAGTGAACAGTTCATTCAAATTTTCCTCATTTTAAGACTTTTTGCCTCAAGAAGCCTTGTGCTTCTTGCCATGTTCTTCCATGTTGTCTCTTCAGAGTGGCAAAGTTTATTTGTTTGTTGTGTAGCTCTGGCTGTCCTAGAACTCAGTCTGTAGACCAGGCTGCTGTGGAACTCAGACATCCACTTGCCTCTGCCTCTGGAGTGCTATCTTACTCTATAGTCAATGACAATCTGGGACTTGTAGTCTTGCTGACTCAATCTTCCAGGTGCCAGAATTAGAGGAGTTGGGCCTCTATGAAAAGTTGTCTCATCCGTGGGGGGAGTGGGACCAAGACTCCCTGAAACATGCCAAAATCTGACTGTTGGATATATTACATATATTCAATATTTATATAGTTACATATGTTCAGTGCACATCCTCCTGTTACTTTAAATTGTCTGAGATTACTAATCCCAAATACAGTGTCAAGTGCTATGCAAAGTAGTCATTTAGGGAATAATGCCAAAGGGGAAAATGTCTGTATATGTTTAGTGCAGATGTAACTTTTGTTTTTTCCAAATATTGATCCACAGTTGGATGAATCTAATGAAAAAGTGTGTTGTGGGCATTTGCGTTTGATGCAGACACTTTGAGCCTGCTCTGGATATGTGGTTTTATGTTCATGCAGTCTCTTAAGGACGTGTGTGGCATTGTGGCATGGAGAGCCACCACTGCCTCGTCCCTGTTCATTGTTCCTGTGCTCTGTCTCTCAGGAGTGTGCTGGACTTCGACTTTGAGAAACTCTGCTCTATCTCCCTCTCGCATATCAATGCGTACGCCTGTCTGGTGTGTGGCAAGTACTTTCAAGGTAAATAAATGGCATGAATGATAAATCTTTTTTTTTTTTTGTGGAAAGTAAGTTATTCATGGGGACCATGTTTAATAGTTTCTGTCTGTCTTCCCAGGAAACTGGAGGTTTTCTCCTTGATCAGAGTTGAGCACATCTGAAAGGGAGAAAGAATTAGTAGTAGGTTTCCTGGCACCGAGCTTCTAAGTTTCTTTCTTTTCCCCCCACCCTCTTTTCCTTCCTTTTGTCACTGGACAGTGAACCTAGGTTCTCAGATGTACGAGGCAAGTGTTCTACCACTGAGCTGCATACCCAGGTCCTGGGTTTCTGAGTCTAATGTTTTCTGCATTTATATCTTTGCTGTTTTGAGGTGGGGTCTGAGTACGTAGGCCAGGCTTACCTTGAAGTTGAGCCTCCTGCCCCAGGCTTTCTTGTGCTGGGTTTTTTTTTTTTTTTTTTTTTTTTTGGTTTTTCGAAACAGGGTTTCTCTGTGGTTTTGGAGCCTGTCCTGGAACTAGCTCTTGTAGACCAGGCTGGTCTCGAACTCACAGAGATCCGCCTGCCTCTGCCTCCCGAGTGCTGGGATTAAAGGCGTGCGCCACCACCGCCCGGCTTCTTGTGCTGGGTTTTGCAGGTGCCCTATCATCATCTCCTGAGAATACTTATTTAGTTCTTTTCTGAAAATGTATTATTTTAACTCATTTAGACCAACAAGTAGTATGCATGTACATAGTATAATGGGGAAGTAAAAAAAAAAAACGAGAAGCCACATTTTTTGCTTTTGTAGGGAGCGTATGTGAGATCAAGGTTGACAGATAAAACAATCAACAAATCCTACATTAATGATTTCTGCTAGACTATAAAGCAATGAATAAAAATGAGGACAGAGGGTAGTGAAATACATGAAGGTCAGTTTTTCTTCCCCTTTGATATTTGAGACAATACTTCAGTATGTAGCCCTGATTGACCTAGAACTCACTGTATTGGCCTGACTGACTTGAGCTTACCTCAGGTCCCCTGCCTCTGGTCATCTGAGTGCTGGGATTGTAGGTGTTGTCATCCTGCCTGTCTCCAAAGTCAATTCCTAAAAATGTATTACATTTTAAGGTTAGTTTTATATATCAGTGTGGATATTTGTGGGCATGTGTGGAAGTCAGTGGACAGCTTGTGGGAATTGGTTCTTTCCACCATGTGGGCTCCAAGGATTAAACTCAGGTCATTGGGCTTGGTGGCAGATGCCCTTACCTACTGAACCATCTTGCCAGCTCCCCAAGGTCGAATGTGTGTGTGTGTGTGTGTGTGTGTGTGTGTTGTGTATATTTTCAGACAGGGTCTTGACCCTCCTGTCTTCATCTCCCTAATGCTAGGATCACAGGTGTGTGTCACCATGCCCAGCCTTTTTTTTTTCTTTAAAATATGGAACACTGCACGAATTAGCATGTCATCCTTGCGCAGGGGCCATGCTAATCTTCTCTGTATCGTTCCAATTTTAGTATATGTGCTGCTGAAGCGAGCACCCTTTTTGTTTTTCATGGTTTTTCGAGGCACATTTTTTTGTGTGTGTAGCTCCAACTTTCCTGGAACTAACCCTGAAGACCAGGCTGGTCTCAAACTCACAGAGATCCACCTGCCTCTGCCTCCTGAGTGCTGGGATTAAAGGTGTCCGCTCAGCCTTTATTTCTGATGTTTTAGGTTAGAATATGGAATGATGGGTCTCATACGCTCCTTCATACACGTGTGTCCTTATGCTTTGTTTTCATTTGTTTGTTTGTTTGTTTGTTTTTGTTTTGCTTTTTGAGACAGTGTTTCTCTTTCTCTGCATACAGCCCTGACTGTCCTGGAATTCACTCTGTACACCAGGCTGGCCTTGAACATAGAGCTGTGCTTGCTTCTGCTGACATTAGAAGTGCGTGTTCCGCTCCTCTGCATTTGAATGTGCTGCAGGAGAGTGGTACTAAAAAGAGGAGTGCTGGAAGGGGCTGCGGACGTTACCCCAGCTTCTCAGGAACCTGAGCTGGGGGATTGGAAGGTGGAAATTTGGAGACAGCTTAGTCAACTTAGCAAGATTGTGGCTCAAAATGAAAGAGTTTGGCAGGGTAGCCTGTAGTTTGTTTTTCTTTTTTTTTAATTCTTTGTGGGCCTGCCACCCTGCTCCCAAATAAATACATGGAGACTTATTCTTACTTATGAATGCCCTGCCTTAGCTTTGCTTATTTCTAGCTAGCTTTTCTAAGTTAAATTATCCCGTTACATTTTGCCTTTGGGCTTTCTTTTCTTTTCTCTCTTTGTCTCTGTCTCTGTCTCTCTCTCTCTCTCTCTCTCTCTCTCTCTCTCTCTCTAACCCTTCTTTATTCTATGTCTTTCTTCCCTTCTTACTCCGTGACTGTTGTGTGACTGGGTGGTTGGCCTCTGGCATTCTCCTCTTCTTCTCCTATTCTCACTCCTCCTTGTTCTTTGCTTCACTCAAGTCTAGATTTTCCCTCCTATTTATTCTCTCTGCTTGGCAACCCCACCTCTCCCTCTTTCCCGCCTCACTATTGACCATTCAACTCTTTATTAGATCAGTCAGGTGTTTTAGGAAGGCAAAGTAACACAGCTTTACAGAGTTAAACAAATGCAGCACTAAAGAATGTAACACATCTTTGCATTACTAAACAAATATCCCACAGCATAAACTAAGGAAACTTTCACAACAGTAGCCTAGTGCTGGAAACTCTGGGTTAACATTAGTACTGCTAAAATAATAACAAACATAAAGGGATGTAGCGAGGACAAAGGACAAGGGTGCAGGTGGGAGCTGAAGACAGCTGATGGGAAGGCAGCCTCAGGATAGGTATATCTGTGTGTGTGCATTTATGTTCTTATGTATTAAATAACATTTTTTTTGATACTCCTAGTTTCTGATTCATATGAAGTTAGTTTATATATATACTTTTGTTTGTTTGTTTTTTGTTTTGTTTTTTTTGAGACAGGGTTTCTCTGTAGCTTTGGAGCCTGTCCTGGAACTCACTCTGTAGACCAGGCTGGCCTTGAACTCACTGAGAGCCTCCAGTCTCTGCCTCCCGAGTGTTGGGATTAAAGACGTGCCACCACCGCCCGATCTACATGTATACTTTTATGTTGAAACTAATTTCCCTAACTTATGTCTTAGTGTTCTTTCTGGTTCTCTTTGTGAGAGAAGTTTATGTGGGGATTAATTTCATGGATGGCATAGGACTTACTTTGTTTTTGCTTTTAACATGTTTTGCACAAAGTAATGAGGCAAGAGCAGACTTGATCTGTGCCTTTTAGGCCTTTCTCTGACATCCCTTCCCCCTTTCCCACAGGCCGGGGCCTGAAGTCTCATGCTTACATTCACAGCGTCCAGTTCAGCCACCACGTCTTCCTCAACCTCCACACTCTCAAGTTTTACTGCCTTCCTGACAACTATGAGATCATCGACTCCTCACTGGAGGATATCACAGTATGTGTCCCTGGTTGCTGGTGTCGGCCACATTGTTTTGTGAGCTATCCCAAGGGACTCTGGGAAGGGCCCTGCTAGAGAAAGTGAAAAAGTAGAATAAATTCAAGTTTCAAACTAAGTTCATGATGATAGTTCTGTGACCAGGAAGATTCTGTCCTGCCTCACAGCCCTGGGAGGCTTGGAAGCCTGGCAGGGAAGAAGGTGCTACACTCTTGAGCTAGATACACAAGATACCCCACTGGAGACTTGGGCTCCTGCTGGCTTCTTAGTCCTGAGCATCCTGGGTTTCTGGCAGCCATTGATCATGGAGTTGACCAGACTGTAGGGGTAAAGACAGACGTGGAATTCAGTGATTCAGGATTAGACACAAAGCCCCTTGCAGATGAGTTCTGTGGAGGACTTACTCCCCTACCTCGGTCTTCATCCCTGGTGGCTGAGCCTTAGGGTGTAGAGTGGGGCATTCATGACCAGGGAATTTTTATTTTCTGGATATACTTTGTGAACCCTGTTTACAACAACTTGTGTGTTCTTTTTGCTTGGCAGTATGTGTTGAAGCCTACTTTTACAAAGCAGCAAATTGCAAACTTGGACAAGCAAGCCAAATTGTCCCGGGCATATGATGGTACCACTTACCTGCCAGGGATCGTGGGACTGAACAACATAAAAGCCAATGACTATGCAAATGCAGTGTTGCAGGTATGCTCAAGAAAGGACACTGGGGAGGGGAGAGTAACTGGAAGCCGCCAAGAAGTTAACACTTTTTCGAGAGTACAGTCAGAAGGGCCCAGACCCCAGGTCTCTGAGAACTCCACCTGAGCATTCGCTCTGCAGCCAGCAGCACACTCCTTTCTAATCAAGGGGCGGCTCCCACATGCTGAGGGAGTTTTCGGCTTCTAGGCTTATGACTCCTGCAGTCTCCAGATTATGAGAGGCAGTGGACTCTGTTCCTAGGCTAGGCCAGACTGAACCACTGTGTTGGGGTCTATTTCTTTTTCTCTCTTGCTCCCTCCTCCCTTCCTCTTTTTTTTTTTAAAATTTATTTTTATTTTTTGAGACAGGGTTTCTCTATATCTCTGTAGCTTTGGAGCCTGTCCTAGAACTCGCTCTGTAGACCAGGCTGGCCTTGAACTCACAGAGATCGCCTGTTTCTGCCTCTGGAGTGGTGGGATTAAAGGCATGCACCACCTCCACCTGACTCTTCCTTCCTTTCTGTGTATATGTGTGTACTGTGTGAGTATGTATGTGCACGTACGAATGCAGGTTCTTGTGGAGTCCAGAGGAAGGTGTTGGACACCTTGGAGCTGGAGTTGCAAGCAGTTCTGAGCTGCCAGACGTGGGTCCTGGGGGTTCTCTGCAGGATCAGGATGCACTCTAAACCGCTGAGCCATCTCTCTAGCCCCTAATACTCTTAAAAAAGACATTTGATTTTGCTTGCTTTTTTGTTTGTTTATTTGTTCAGTTGCTCTGTGTGTTTTTTTTTTTTTAAATTTTGTCTTTTTGTTGGTTTTTTTTCTTTTTAAACTAGGGTCTTGCTCTGTAGTCCAGGCTACTCACTACATAGTTCAGGCTGTCTTCATACATAGTCCACGCTGGCTTCTCTTCTGCCTCAGCCTCCCAGGTACTGGGATTACAGACCTGAGTCTCTGCTTGACTTTTTAAGTCCTTCATTCACTAAGTGTTTGTCAGCCTTTATTTTGTGTGACTCAGTGAAGGACGTTTCTCTGAGCTCTGGCAGCATTTTCTGAGGGTCAGTTTCTTCCTTCCTTCCTTCCTTCCTTCCTTCCTTCCTTTCTTTTTTCTTTAAGATTTATTTGTTTATTATGTATAGTGTTCTGCCTGCATGTATGCCTGCAGACCAGAAGAGGGCATTAGATCTCATTATAGATGGTTGTGAGCCAATACATGGTTGCTGGGAATTGAACTTGACCTCTGGAAGAACAGCCAGGAAGAGCAGCCAGCGCTCTTAACCTCTGAGCCACCAGGCCTTAGGGTCAGTTTCTTTTGAACATTTGAAGGCTGTCCTAGTCCTGTCACAGGCTTTATCTGAATGTTAGCTGGAACAGCCTGGTCCTGAGGGGTCCTGCAAAGGGCTTTGTGCTAACTGGAATGCTTGATTTCCAGGCTCTGTCTAATGTTCCTCCTCTTCGGAACTACTTCCTAGAGGAAGACAATTACAAGAACATCAAGCGCCCTCCAGGGGATATTATGTTTTTGTTGGTCCAGCGGTTTGGAGAGCTGATGAGAAAGCTCTGGAACCCGCGGAACTTCAAGGCACATGTTTCTCCTCACGAGATGCTTCAGGCAGTTGTTCTTTGCAGCAAGAAGACTTTCCAGATCACCAAACAAGGTGAGAGACAAGTCACCCACATCTCTGACTTGAGGACCGCATTTCAGGGGCATCTCAGAGCCGGAGAACACTTTTATTTCCAGTTGTCAGTGAATCCTGATAGGACATGAAGGGACTGTCTGTGGATAGGGGGTTAGGGTCTTCATTCTTTTCTGATCAGTGGGTGAAAGAGATTTGTGTAGGGGACCGAAGAGACTACAGCTGTATAAAGAGAATACAGAAATCTGTTTTATTTGTCAGAATAATGGTATTGCTTATGGGAGATCCTAGGCAAGCCCCTGTTGTTAAGTAGCTGCCGCTTGTGCTGCTCATTTGTTGTGTCCCCTGTTGGGTACTCAGGGAAGTTTTCCACTCTTTCTCATCTCTTAGCCCAGTTCTCACTGCTGCTGAGTGAAGTCTCCGGTTACTCTTAGTAGCCGGGTCTTACACAGTACCACATCGCATCCATTTGTTCATCCTGCGCTCTTGGTTTTGAGATAAGGTCTCACTCTGTAGCCCTGACTGGCCTGGCGCTCACCCCAAACTCACAGAGTATTTGAATTCTTCCTGTCTTTGCTTTCCCCACGCTGGGTCATCCTCTACTTTTCTTCCTGAGTTTTAGAGCTACAGGTTGAGGTATATGATTGCTTTCTTCCAGGAAATGCCAGGCTAACAGGAAAGGTAATTGTATAGGAAGTAATTAGAGGATGTTAAGTGCTGTGATGAGAAAAGCAGCTTCTCCAGCTCGTGGAGCAGAGACCCACGTAGACATATGGGTAGAGTCCTGAGTGCTGGGTAGAGGAGGAGGTGGGTTGGTAATAGGCATGGCTAGGCAGGCATGGGGTTCCAGTATAGTTTGGGATGCCCAAATGTGTCTGGCACAGAGAGTAAGTAGTCACATTTTGGATTCCAGGGTCAGTGGAGAACCAGGGTAGTGGTTAGGAAAGGGGATTTTCCAGTTTCTGTGTCTTTGTAAGGAGACTAGGTTTTACCTTAAGGTTGAAAATCAGTTGGCACTTGCCAAAGTGTGACAACAGTTCCATGGGCTTGGGGGTGGTGCACGCCATTAATCCTAGCACCGGGAGGCAGACATAGGCGGATCTCTTGATTTCGAGGCCAGCCTGGTCTATAGAGTGAGTTCCAGGACAGTAGGATACGCGTGCAAACACACACACACTATTCTGACCTGGGCATGATAGTCCATGTGTATAATCCCAGCACCTGTGAGGTGGAATAGGACTCAAAAATCCCAAATCAAAATAGAAATCCCATTATTCTGATTGAGGAATGAATTGCACAGAGAGAAAGGTCAGTGGCTTGGTTTTTAAATTTTTTTTTTTTATTATTTTGTGTAAGTGTTTTGCCTTTATATGTATGTCTGCATACCACATGCATGCCTGGTACCGGAGGAGGCCACAAAAGGGTGTCAGATCCCCTTGAAGTGGAGTTACAGACAGTTGTTAACTGCCATGTGGGTGCTGGAAATCAAGCCCAGGTCCTCTGAAAGAATAACAAGTACTATAAACTATTGAGCCATGTCTCCTGCCACCTCTACCCACAATACCTTTTTTTTCTTTCTTTTTTTAAAGATTTATTATGTTTACAGTGTTCTGCCTGCAGGCCAGAAGAGGGCACCAGATCTTATCACAGATGGTTGTGAGCCACCATGTGGTTGCTGGGAATTGAACTCAGGACCTTTGGAAGAACAGCCAGTGCTCTTAACTGCTGAGCCATCTCTCCTGCCCCACAATACCTTTATTTTTAAATAATAGACAGGTTCCTACTATGCAGCCCTAGCTGTCCGGGAACTCGCCATGTAGACCAAACAGGCACAGAGATCCACTTGCCTCTGCATCCTACATGCTAGAAATAAAGGCATGTGCCACCATGGTTGTGTAGTAGTGCCTTTCAGATTCTCAGGGACTTGGGAGAAGAGTACTAACTAGGAGATGATAAGATAAGTAGATGAGGAGCTGAGACTCGGGGTTTAGGAGTTTGGGGCAACAGAGAGTAAGATACACTTGGGAATAGATAGTGTATGTTGACCAGAACCCCATGATTTATTTCCAAATGAGCAGAAGTCGCTAAGACATTTGAGCATGAAGTCTTATAGTTTGCAACAGGCCAGTAACACTTACTCTTCTGAACAGGGGGCAGCCACCTCCTGTGCTAGATGAAGCCTCACATATCCAGGATCCAGATTCATAAAATTACTTGGTTTCTGCACCAACTCTGTGAGGTCTCAATTTTGTTTTGATTTTTAAGATTTATTTTTAAGTGTATGTGTGCGTGTGCGCAGGTGCCCGTGGAGTGTGTGTGAGAGTATGTATGTGTGTGTATATATATATATATATATATATATATATATATATATATATATATATATATATAAATGTGCAGGTGTTCCTGGATTCTAGAAGAGGCTGTTGGATCCCCTAAAGCTGGAGACTGGAGTTACAGGTAGTTGTGAGCCATCCATTGCAGAGGCTGAAACTGAACTCAGACCCTCTGCCTAAGCAGTGAGCTTTCTTTTCTTTTTATGTCAGGGCTACAACAAGATATGATATTTTTATAGAGAAATTTATTTTGTGTACTATGGGTGGTTTTATCTGTTAGCCTTTCCTTCAGTTTTTGACACCTTTGCAAAGTTAAAGCATGATGGTTAGAGTTGCAGAAAAGCCTTAGCCCTAAGAGTAAGCTTACCTTGTTTCCTCTTCCATAGTCATAGTTTGCATTGTCAGTTAAGTAGTTTCCTCAGTGTCTGGGCATTATCAATTGCCTAGATGTGTGTGGGTGCGTAGAGAAGTTCTTGCTTTGGTCATTTGTAATTAAATAAAGCATTGTGTGTGTGAATTTAGGAAAGCAATTTTGTAGAGCTGTCAGGCCTTTGGAATCAGGAGATGAAGTTAGAGCAGAGTACATAGCCTTATAGATTTTAACTAGATGAACAGAGGGGAAGTGAATGGAGACGGACATCTGTAAGACAGTAGCCATTGTCTCAGACATACTTGGGAGGTCGGCACCTAGTTTCTTCTTAGGCACTCTTATCGTGGGCCAGGAATGTTGCTTGTTCCCAGAATCCTTTGCTTTGCATTGTATGTGGATGCTTTCTTAGAAATAGCACTTTAAGTCACCTTCCTGAAAGATAAGTCTTTAAGATAGGGAAGTGAGGAAGGAAGTCAGAGCCACTCTGAAGATGTGGATGTTACAGGGCCGTCATTCATTATTATTGCTGGGTGGTGAGGTACATTCTGGGATGGAAGTGACAGGGTCCAGCTGTAGATCAAAATACCTAGAGAGAAAGAGAAGACTAAAGAGTAAGGTTGGGGGACTAGAGAGATGGCTCAGTGGTTAAGAGCCCTGCTTATTCATCCAAAGGTCCTGAGTTCAATTCCCAACAACCACATGGTGGCTCACAGCTATGTGTAGTAAGATCTGGCACCCTCTCCTAACCTGCAGACAGAACACTGTATACATAATAAATCTTTAAAAAAAGAGTAGGCTTGACCTTGAGGAGTGTGGGTGTTTGTTGTCAGGTAGAGGAGGATGCACAGGGTGGAGGATGCGTGGCTAGAGAGGGTGAGGAGAACCAGCCAGTACATGGTTGGGTTCCTTTCCTGCTTCTGAGCTTCAGCATGTTCTCTCTCCCTTTGTTCTCAGGGGATGGAGTTGACTTCCTGTCTTGGTTTCTGAATGCTCTGCACTCGGCTCTGGGCGGCACCAAGAAGAAGAAGAAAAGTAAGTCATGCTGCTTGTCCAAAGAGAGCCCCATTTTCTTGGTTTTTGCTTTTTTTTTCCTAGAAAAACATTTATACTTATACTGCTTCTTCCATTTTGAGACAAAGTCTTGCTGGAGCCCCAGCTGGCCTGGAGCTTAGGTTCTTCCTGTCTCAGTTTCCTCTGTACTGAAATGACTTAGAATGCATGATTCTTCTGCTTCTACCCCCAGAAGTTCGGATTATAGGCATGTGCCATTAGGCTGTGCTAGACCTGAATTGATCTTGCCCTGTTTTTTTTTATTAGAATATGGTTATATTCTCAGTTTATTTTTTTTCCTGGTTGTTTTGCTGTTGTTTTATCTTTTTTTTTTTTTTTGAATTCTTTGAAATATATTCTTGCTTCCTAGCCCAGGCTGGGTTGGAATTTGTGATCCTCCTAATTTAGCCTCCCTTATACTGAGATTACAAATATATACTGCCTTGCCTGCCTGGCCCCAGTAGTTTTTAAGCAGAAATGCCAGGAAGATACTGGGTTAAGTAAGACAGATAGAAGACATGGCTGTGTCTTGTCCCTCCAGAAGTGAACTTCCAGCGGCCGAGAGTAGAATCGTGGTTACCAGAGGCCTAGGGCTAAGGGCTCTCAGACAGAGAAGTTAGCAGGAGGAGGAGCTTTTAATGTTCTTTGGCACAGTGGGTAAAAGTGCTTGACATCCACTAACTGTACCTCAATAGAGCTTCTAGAGAGGATTTGAATGTTTTGAGCACAGGGAATGATAAATGTTTAGAGATGAACATGGCCGTTATTGTACTATGTATTTATTGAAATAGCACTCTGCTCCATTAATTGATATTGTCTTGGGTATCAATTAAAGCTCGTTCACCTCCAGGTGTTAGGATTACAAGCATGTGTCATTTTGCTCAGATTAAAATGTTTGTTATTTAATGTGCCTACATGAGTGTATGTGCACCACACATGTGCAAGAGTATTCCATGATCAGAGCCTGTCAGAAGCCCAGCGATTGGAGTGACGGGTGGTTGTGAGCCATCTGAAGTGGGTCCTAGGAACTGAACTCTGGGTCCTCTGCAAGAGCAGTATGTGTTCTTAACTGCTGGGCCATCTCTCCAGAATAAGTCAAAGCTTGGTTTTGCTGTTGTTTTTGAGACAGAGTTTATATGTGGTTCTGGCTGGCTGTCCTGGAACCGACTGTGTAAACCAGACTGACCTCAGACTCACACAGATCACCTGTCTCTGCCTCCCAAGTGCTGGAATTAAAGACAAACACCACCACATACTGGCCAAAGCATCTTTTTACAAATCAGAAATGGGTATAATTATGCTCTAGAAATTCTGACCCAGTTTGGAATGGAGAGTGGGAGCACTGTGTTCTAGACTCTTCGATTCCTGCAGTGCTGGAGCTGGCGAAGGACTGAGGGGTAGAGCAGACTGAAAAGTGGCTCTGCTTGTGGGCACATGACTAAACTAAACGTCCTCTGTCCCTCTGTCCCTCTGTCCCTCTGTTCCTCTGTCCCTCTGACCCTCTGTCCCTCTGTCCCTCTGTCCCTCTGACCCTCTGTCCCTCTGTCCCTCTGTCCCTCTGACCCTCTGTCCCTCTGACCCTCTGTCCCTCTGTCCCTCTGACCCTCTGTCCCTCTGACCCTCTGTCCCTCTGACCCTCTGTCCCTCTGTCCCTCTGACCCTCTGTCCCTCTGTCCCTCTGACCCTCTGTCCCTCTGACCCTCTGTCCCTCTGACCCTCTGACCCTCTGTCCCTCTGACCCTCTGACCCTCTGTCCCTCTGTCCCTCTGACCCTCTGACCCTCTGACCCTCTGTCCCTCTGTCCCTCTGACCCTCTGTCCCTCTGACCCTCTGACCCTCTGACCCCCAGCTTCTCTTGTTTAGTTTGAGTTCCAGTTACACTTTGTAGCTTATAGACTGCAGAGTCAGGTGACTCATTCTGGAGACATAAGGCAGTGTAGCTTTCTTTTTTGTTTTTGTTTTTCAAGACAGGGTTTTTCTTTGTAACATTCCCGGTTGTCCTGGAACTGCTTTGTAGGCCAGGCTGGCCTGCCTCTACCAAGTGCTGGGATTAAAGACCTGTCAACACCATGCTCTGCTGCTTGTCTTCTTTTTTATTTGATTGATTGTGTGGTTGTCTATGTGTTGTTTGTTTTGCGATCAGGTCTTGCCTTGTAGCCTGGGCTAGCCTCAAACTCCCAGTCTTCCTTCTTCACTGCCTGAGAATAGGTGTGTCCCACCACACCCAGCTCTTGTCTTCTGGGTTCTGATGGCTCTGCTGGGTGAAGGAGTTGGGTTCTTACTCTAGATAGCTCTGCCCTGTCTGTGAGGTAAATTTAGCCAAGCTCATTCTCTCAGGTCTCTAACTTGTGTTTCACTGGGATTCTGTGAGCCTGTGTGCTTTGTGTCTTTGTCTTTGTCTTGGTTTTGTTCTTCTTCTTTTTTTTTTTTTTTTTTTTTTGGTTTTTCGAGACAGGGTTTCTCTGTGGTTTTGGAGCCTGTCCTGGAACTAGCTCTTGTAGACCAGGCTGGTCTCGAACTCACAGAGATCCGCCTGCCTCTGCCTCCCGAGTGCTGGGATTAAAGGCGTGTGCCACCACTGACCGGCTTGGTTTTGTTCTTGATTAACATCTTAGTCATTTCTCTCTCTTGTCCAGTATAGGTTACAGCCTTTTGAAGGCAGAAATACCTTGACTAAGCTGCTTTTGAGGCCGTGTGTGTTTGTGTATGTGTGTTTGTGTGTATACACCTGTGAAGGTCAGTGCTGAGATTAGAGGTGAGATGGGCCTTAACCCTCTAGGGATCAAACTCAGGTCTTCATACCTGATGGAAGGCTCTTTACTGACCAAGCCATTTCCCACTGTACCTATTTTTGTTTTCATTGTTTGAGGTAGGATCTCATGTGGCTAAAGTTGTATTTGAACTCTTGATCCTCCTGTCTCCACCTCCCAAGTGCTAGAATTATAGGTGTGAGTTACCACACCCAGTTCTATGTCCAGTTCTGACTGATATTTTAAAAAAAGATTTATTTATTTTATGTGTCTCAGTGTTTTGCCTGCCTTTTGCTATGTGCACCATGTGTTTGCTTGGTTCCCTCAGAGATCAAAAGATCGCACTGGAGCCTCTGGAATGGTTGTAAGCTACCATGTGGATGCTGGGAATTAAACCTGAGTTCTCTCTGCAAGAGCAACAAGTGTCCTAAGCTGCTTAGTCATCTCTCCGGCTCTTTCTTTTTAAAATGATTATGTTTGGGGCTGGAGAGATGGCTCAGTGGTTAAGAGCATTGCCTGCTCTTCCAAAGGTCCTGAGTTCATTTCCCAGCAACCACATGGTGGCTCACAACCATCTGTAATGAGGTCTGGTGCCCTCTTCTGGCCTGCAGACATACAGACAGAATATCGTATAAATAAATAAATATTTAAAAAAAAATGATTATGTTTTTAAGTCATTCTTTTCAAACTCACATTTTTCCCCTTTCATGACCCAGCCCAGTGGTTAAAGAATGTTGTGTGGAGGAGATATAATGTAATTACTTAGGAAAATAATTATGTAAGTACAGTGATATATGTTACAAGGTGAAGCTTCTGTGCTTACGAAGAGCTTGAGTCTTACACTGTTCTGGTTTATACCAGAAATTAAGAAATTGGGATATGTTCTTGACATGCTTTCTGGCCTCACAAACTTTGTATTTTGCTTCTTGTTTGACAGCTATTGTGACTGATGTTTTCCAGGGGTCAATGAGAATCTTCACTAAAAAGCTTCCTCATCCTGATCTGGTGAGTGTCCAGAACAGAATTCTAGCCTGATATATGTTACCTGGGGGCCTAGGGAACCCGGAGCTTAGAGAATAGACAGAATGTGCCCCACAAAGAAGTTGACAAAGCACCTGCTGTAGGGCAGTTCTGTGCCCATAGTGGTCTTGTACTGTGAACTTCAGAGTTGGTAGCTCGTAGTCTTGGTTGAAGTGGTTTGACTGCTGAGTGGTTCAGCTGAGCTTGAGAACTTTTTTAAATAGTAGGGTATATAAGTAAAACCCTTTCAAATAGGATTAGTGTTTTCTTTAAGAGTTGGTCTACAAGGGAATGGGTTTGAGTGGTGTCTTCAAATCCATGTGCCATTACACTTAGTTCTCATTAACCCTCTCTTCTGTTGCCCTGCTCTATTCCCAGTGCTCTCTTCCTGGCAGGTTTCTTTCCACATCAGTTCCTCCTCTTGCTTCATGTCCCTTGTATTCCCTTTCCCACTCTTTCCCCTAAAGGTCTCCTTCTGTCAGCGATCGATCGCCTTTCTAGTTGGATGACCACATGCATGCACACACATGCCATCAGTTTTTGAATGAATACTGTCAGGTGGTTCTGCATACAGGTGCCTGGGCTCTGGACTAGGGAAGATGTGAATGAGCATCATGTCTCTGTGGGTTTGCTTTCTGCTGTTCACTCCTTTCCTCTTTCGTCTTCTTATTCATTTCCAGCCAGCGGAAGAGAAAGAACAGCTGCTCCATAATGATGAGTACCAAGAGACGATGGTAGAGTCCACGTTCATGTACCTGACACTGGACCTTCCCACCGCCCCACTCTATAAGGATGAGAAGGAGCAGCTCATTATCCCCCAGGTGCCGCTCTTCAACATCCTGGCCAAGTTCAACGGCATCACTGAGAAGGTAGCCACATTGCCACCCTTGCCCTGTTTTCTCGGTTTGTATTTTAACTTTATCATCACCAGCACCCCTTTTTTTCAGTGTTGACAACAGGGCTTTGGAAGTAGAAGGCAAGTGCTCTACAGACAAGTTACTCCCTAGACTCTGTGTCTTTTTCTATTTCAGAATCAACGCATAAATATCATAGTCTTACTCTGAATGTACTGTCTTTTTCAAGTCTCCCAGCCTCTCTGGTGTTTAACTCTTAACTTTGTAGCCCTTCTTACATGGCTCCTGCCTGCCTCTGAGAACAGTAAAGAAAAGTGGGAGATTCAGATGTTTGGAAACTCAAGAAATACAGAAATTTCATCTTTAAAAAGAGAATTTTTATTTTGTTGTGTTTCTTGAGGTAAGGTCTCGTCTAGCCAGCTTAGCCTAGAACTTGCTGTGCAGCCAGAACCAGCCTTGAATTCTTGATTCTCCTTCCTCCACCCAAGTGCTGGCCACCACTTCCAGCTCCAACAATTATTATTATTATTATTTTTTTTTTGATTTTTTGAGACAGGGTTTCTTGTAGCTTTTTTTGGTTCCTGTCCTGGAACTAGCTCTTGTAGACCAGGCTGGCCTCAAACTCACAGAGATCCGCCTGCCTCTGCTTCCCAAGTGCTGGGATTAAAGGCATGCGCCACCACTGCCGGCCGTCCAACAATTATTTTTAATTTGTCTATTTTGCTTTTATTTTTTTGTTAATAATAAAAGTACTTACTGTTAATTCAGTCTCAGTATCAAATTGTTGGACTTTTTTTTATTTTCCCCTGAGGTAGGGTGTTCTTTGCTGTCCTGGAACTCACTCTATAGACCAGGCTTGCCTTGAACTCACAGAGGTTCACTTGCCTCTGCCTCCCAAGTGCTGGGATTAAAGGTGTGCACCACTACCCAGTGAAACTGGACTCCTGGGATGGGAGAAAAGAACCTTGAACTCTTTTGCAGTGGCGTTTCCTTCTTACGGAGCTGGCAGTGACAGTGTAGACCCCATACTCTTATTTCCCTTGCTATCTTATTAACATTTTGGAGAAGTACCCAAACCCTTTCTTTTGTAAAAAGTTTCTTCATTTTCTAGATGACCTTTCTCTCAGTTTGCTGGGGAGCAGGTCTGTAAGGACCCTCACTATGCAGTGTCAGAAGTGGGTCTCTTACTTGCTGTTTTATAATAAGGTCATTGTCCAGATAGTATTGAAGCAGGCATATTCTAATTTAAAATCAGTATTTTCTTGGGGTTAGTGAGATGGCTCAGCAGGTCAAAGCCCTTGTCATGGAGGTCTGGAAACCTAAGTTCAGTCCCTGGAACCCACAGTGGAAGGAAAAAACAGACTCCTGGAAATTGCCCTCTGGCCTCTAGACATGAAATGTAGCATGTATACATCCACTTTCACCCAACATATCTATCTCTCTCTCTCTCTCTCTCTCTCTTTCTCTAAATTGAAAATATTTTCTATTTCCTTGAGCAATTTGTGGATCTCAAGGGGTCTGTTTTTCCGTTTAGAACTCAGTCAGTTCAGATGGAAGCCTTGGCTGATTGTTTCTGGTTATGATTAGTCTTTCAGTCCTATCTCTTAACTAAATGTAAGCTTAGGTTTTACTGGGGTTTGAGCCTCAACCTCATGCATACTAAGTAAGTGCTTTATTGGGTATATTCCCAGACAAGGATAAGAATTTATGTTTAACCCCAGCACTAGGGAGGCAGAGACAAGTGGATCTCTTAGTTCAAGGCCAGCCTGGGCTACAGAATAAGTTTCAGGACAGCCATAGTTATACAGAGAAACCGTGTCTTGAAAATCAAAGGGGGGGGGAAGGAGGGAGGGAGGAAGAGAAGGAGGAGGAGGAAGAAGAAGAAAAAGAAGGAGGAGGAGGAGGAGAGAGAGAGAGAGAGAAAGGAAAAGAAAAGAAAGAAAGAAAAAACGAGAGAGAGAGAGAGAGAGAGAGAGAGAGAAAGGAAAAGAAAAGAAAGAAAGAAAAAACTATTCTCAGGGCTGGAAAGATGGATCAGCAGTTCAGAGTGTTGCCCTTGCAGAGAAACTGGGTTCAGTCCAGCATGCAAGTGGTACCTTACAACCATCTGTAACTTCAGTACCAGGGAATTGGCATGCTCTTCTGGCCTCTCTGGGCACACATGGGTTCATAGATAGGCAGAACACCCATCCACATAAAAGAAAAAGGGAAGCCACTAATGTTCACTCGCTTTAAGCCCCTTGGGTTGGCAGGTCCTGGCCCTTCCCTTTCTTCTTAGGCCATGTAGAATGAGCTCACAGGAAATGTGACCTGCTACACTACTTACACAAGCCCTGAGATTTCTTCTCAGATGTGAGCTTCGGTTGCTGGGGATTGTGATAGACCAGTGCCTCCTGTGCGCTGAGTACAGGTTTTTACCACAGAGCTACTCCAGCCCAGGTCTTAGAGCCTTTAAGACAGAAAGGATAGAAGAAGTTGTTAGCCACCTCCTTTGGAATACTGAGGGTGCTTCACTGTTACTAAGGCAAGAAAAATTTCCCCATTTTGAGTAAGATCATTTTTGTTTTTCAAGACTGGGTTTCTCTGTAGCTTTGGAGCCTATCCTGGAACTTGCTTTGTAGACCAGGCTGGCTTTGAACTCACAGAGATCCCCCTGTTTCTGTCTCTTGAGTGCTGGGATTAAACGCATGTGCCACCATGCTGTCTGGTGTAAAGTAAGATCTTTCTGGTGGTAATTCAGCTTTTAACCGTTGTTTTTATTTGGTGGTTTTATTTTCCGTGTTTGCCTGAGCCTGTACAGCTATGGTATTAGTTTCAGCAGTGTGATCCTATACTGGCTGAAGTAGTCCATTGTATTTTACTCTGTGTTTGCTCCATTGCTAATCTTAGCCTCTTTTGTGATTTTTGGGACTAAGTATTTTCTAAATTTTAGGTGTGATACAGAGAAAAGCTCAGTTCCTTTTGTACTGAGTGCTGACTCTGAGTGCTGGCACTAATGTCATGAAACTGTTTTTCTAGGAATACAAGACTTACAAGGAGAATTTCCTGAAGCGCTTCCAGCTCACCAAGCTGCCTCCATATCTAATCTTTTGCATCAAGAGATTTACTAAGAACAACTTCTTTGTGGAGAAGAATCCGACAATTGTCAACTTTCCCATCACGTGTGTATTGCCCTACTTCATTCTGGCGGGTTCCCCTCCCCCTTCTCTTTTTGAGACAGGGTCTTATGACTGTCCTTCAACTTGGCAGATGATCCTGACCACTTGAAACTCCTGCCTGAGCCTGTTGTAGGAGCTGCTTGCTTGTTCCGGCTGCTCAGTCCAGAAATAATCACCCAGAAACTATTAATTAAACCACTGCTTGGCATATTAGGTCAAACTTCTTATCGGCTAGCTTTTACATACTGATTTAACCCATTTCTATTAATCTGTAACACCACGTGGCTGTGGCTTACTGGATAAAGTTCCGGCGTCTGTCTCCTGCGGGGCTACATGGCTTCTCTCTGACTCTACCTTCTTTCTCCCAGAATTCGGTTTAGTTTTCCCTGCCTACCTCTATTTTGCCCTGCTCTGCTATAGGCTCAAAGCAGTTCTTTATTCATTAACCAATAAAAGCAACACATGGACAATAAAAGCTCCCACACCATCAGCCTCCCAAGGCCACGGCTGTCCCATCTGAGTGTGAGTCTGGATTATCTTTCCATAGTGTTCCTTTTGGACTGACTTGGTTGAAGATTATAAGAACCAGCTTCCTACATCAGAGAAATTAATGATTTTGCTGGAAGGATGTATATATTTCAGAGTCCCCAAAGGCGGATATTGTAGTTATAGTTTTTCTGTCCCGCAGCTGCTCTGAAGCTTGTATTAATTACAAATGCTGGGCTGGAGCTGGAGAGATGGCTCAGGGGTTAAGAGCACTGGTTGCTCTTCCAGAGGACCTGGGTTCAATTCTCAGTCTTGCATGGCAGCTCACAACTGTCTGTAACTCCAGTTACAGGAGATCTGACATTTTCATACCCATGCACCTAAAATAATATTAAATAAAAATTGAAAAACAAAACAAAATGAGTGCCCAGCTAGTAGCTCAGGCTTATTACCAACTAACTCTTACATTTTAAGTTAACACATATTTCTTATTTGCACTCTGCCACATGGTGGCACCTTTATTTATTTATTTATTGGTGGCACCTTTATTAGCATGGCACATTCATCTCCTACTCCCACTTTGTCTGGTTGACAACTCCAGACTCCACCCTTTTTTCTCCCAGCATTTTCTTTTCTAGCCTAACTTTCCTATTCAACTATTGGTCAGTCAATTTGTTTATTAAACCAATCACAGGGGCATATAATCATACAGTATATAGAAGGATTATTCCACAGCAGGATACTTAACTTAGATACAGCCATTTATTTATTTGCTTACTTATTTGAGATACGGTCTCATGTAGTCCAGACTGTTTTTGAAGTCACTTTCTAAGCCAAGATGACCTTGAACTTTTGATTTTCCTACATTCTACCTTCCAAGTTCTGTAATTACAAGCATGTGACAGCACACTGTCATAAATTACAAATTTTAATGTGGGACCTTTTAATTTACTCTGCAGTTGAGTTTTCATGATTTTTTGGTTTTTTTGAGACAGGGTTTCTCTGTTTAGCTTTGGTACCTGTCCTGGAACTAGCTCTTGTAGACCAGGCTAGTCTTGAACTCATAGAGATCCACCTGCTTCTGCCTCCTGAGTGCTGGAATTAAAGGTATACGCCACCACTACCCGACTTAAGTCTTCATGATTTGTTTGAATGAACTGAAAGGGTACCTGATATTTTTCGTTGACTCCTAATTCAGAAAGACTGAAGTGTCTTTAGAAAGACCTCTAATTCATACAATTGGTTATGGTCTGAAAAGCCAATGTTCTTAGTTTTTTAAATTAAATTTTAAAAATTATTTTATGTGTATAGCTATTTTGCCTGCATGTATGTCTGTATCTTGTGCATTCCTGGTGTCCACAGAGGCCAAAAGGATCAAATTCCCTGGAACTGGAGTTACAGCCACTTGTGAGCACCCATGTGGGTTCCAGGAATCAAACTGTAGTCCTCTGGAAGAGGAGCCGGTGCTTTTCCCTGCTGAGCCATCTCTCTACCACTAAGAGACAGTGTTTTACATGGTCTGAAGAAGGTCTCTGAGAATGTGGGGAAGCCTCGTGGCAGGCTGAAAAGTGTGTCAGTGGGTACTGAGGTTGGAGGAAGCATAGTGTCCAACACAGATGGCAGGGGAGGGCTTTGGTTTGGCCTGTGTTTAACTTGAATATCTAGAATATGTCCAGTTTTCCTGTTGACAGGGAAGTTTTACACTTTTGTTTGTTTCTTGTAGTCTTTGGATTTCATACTTTAAGTCTTTGTAGTTTTGTTTTTCTTTTTTTTTTTTTCTTTGGTTTTTCGAGACAAGGTTTCTCTGTAGCTTTGGTGCCTGTCCCGGAACTACCTCTTATAGACCAGGCTGGCCTTGAACTCCCAGAGATCCGTCTGCCTCGCCTCCAGAGTGCTGGGATTAAAGGCGTGTGCGCCACCACCACCGGGCTGTCTTTGTAGTTTAAAATAGCTGAGGAGTTCAGGGTTATGGTGGGCAGATGCTCATCTCCTGGTCTCCTTTTCCCCTCATCGCCTTTCTTTTTCAGTCCCTCAACTACCAGGACTGCCACTTTTCTCCTGTGGAAAGATGTCCAGTTCTTGGTTCTGTGTGAGTCTGAAGAAGGGATTAGCTGGGCAGATGGCTTAGTGGGTAAAGTGCACTCTGGGCTGTGGGATTTAGAGTGGATGAGCCCTAAGGGTCCTCCCAGTGTAGGGCTTGTTTTGTTTTTCTAATGGATTCTGTCTTCCCTGAGAACCTGCGGCAGTAGGTGGTGAGAAGAGAGAGGTGCCCTGGGGTATCTTTTCTTAATTACTAGAGGCAGAACCAGGCATCCTAGGTGCTGGGCAAGCACTGTATCACTGAGCTTTATCTAAATTTTATCTAATTTTTGGAGACAGGATCTTGCTATGAAACTCAAACCTGGCCTTTGCTGAACTGTGCCCTCAGCTCAGCCTCCTCAGAAACTAGGACTGTGAGTCTGTGACAGATGCCATGCAGGAGAATTTCTAAATGAGGAATACAAGAGAATTTTCTTTTTTCTTTTTTAAAAGAATATTTCTTTAAATTTTTTTTTTTAATGTTTATGAGTGTCTTACCTGCATGTGTGTCTGTTTGCCATGTTCATATAGAGCCCATGGAGGTCAGAAGAGGACACTGGATCCTCTGGAACTCGAGTTACAGATGGTTGTGAACCATGTAGGTATAGAGAACTGAACCTGGGTTCTTTGAAAGAGCAGCCAGGCTCTTAACCTCTAAGCCATCTCTCCAGCTCCTTCTTTTTCCCCAGGTTTGTCTTCCTGTTTTCTGTCACTGTCTTGTTTGTGTGACAGGTGGGGAATACAGAAGCCACCTGTCTCATCTCTTGAATGAGACTTCAGAAGCACTGCTTTTGAAATCCCACCAACCAAAGCTTTAGGTCAGAGCTAGTCTCTTGTGAGTGGACAGTGTGTTCCTGATAAGAAAGAGCTTCAGTCGCAAAGAGGCCACTGTGTGGATGATGGTGCTTCTTCAATCCTGCAGAAACTCCTTACCCTGCTGCCTTTTCTCTGAGGCCTGGAGTGGGTTTCTCCTCTTAGCAGCTGCATTTGTACATTTGGCAGTTGGGACTTGGGTAGCTTGCCCTTTAGAAAGCTTGCTCTGGAGAAGTTATAAAACAGGTCTAATAGACCAGAACTCAAAGACAATTTCATTTTAAAAAATTACGTTATCTTTATTTTGTGTATGTGTGTGCACTCATACATGGGGTTGATGAGCCTCAGCATATTTCTGGAGGTTTGAAGATGATGTATGGAATTTATTTTTCTTCTTCCACTATTTGAGTCCCAGGGGTCACACTCAGGCCACCAGGCTTGCATGGTGAGCACTTTACTAATTGATCCATTTTCCTGTTTTTTAATTTTTTTAAAAAACCTTTTGTTTGTTTTGTTTTGTTTTGTTTCTGAGACAGGGTCTCTACAAAGCTATTCTGGATATCAGTATATAGGCCAGGTTGGCTTTGAACTCAAAGACATCCTCCTACCTGTCTCCTGAGGAACTAAAGATATATGTCTCTGCGTCTGGTAGAGGCAGAGGTTTTGTTTTGTTTTTTGTTTTTTCGAGATAGGGTTTCTCTGTAGCTTTGGAGCTTGTCCTGGAACTAGCTCTGTAGACCAGGCTGGCCTCGAACTCACAGAGATCTTCCCTGTCTCTGCCTCCCCAGTGCTGGGATTAAAGGTGTGTACCACCATCGCCTGGCTGTTTTTTAAGATTTATTTATTTTATGTGTGTGGGTGTTTTTGTCAGCATGTTTGTCTGCACATCATATGTGTGTCTGGTGCCTTAGAAAATCAGATGTTTTTGATATTGGATCCCTTGGAATTGAAGCTACAGTACAGGTGGTTGTGAGTCACCTTGTGGGTGCTGGGCATTGAACCTGGGTCCTCTAGCAGCCAGTCTTAACTGCTGAGCAGTCTCTTTCCAGCCCCCAAGGTTTTTTGGTTGTTTTTTCCTTCAAAAACAGGCAGAGTGTCAGTCTGTGGACCAAGTTGACCCGAATCACTTTGTAGCTCAGAATGTCTTTGAACCCTAGGTTCAGTGGAGACCCTGCCTCAAAAATAAGGACTAAAGTAATTGAGGAAGACACCAGGTATTGGTCTCTCACCTCTCCAGGCGTTCACAGCCATCTGCATGTGCACACAAGTTCATACACCACACATACAGAGATCAGAAGACAGCTAGCTCTCTGGACCCATTTTTTTCTTCAGTGCTGGTTTCTAGTCTAGAAACCTTCAAATAAATTCCCCTTTTATACCTTTGCTACCTACGGCAGCTGGGTTACTTGTAATGATTTTGCCTCTAACTTCACTGAGAAAAAAAAATGAAAAAAGAGTCTTGAAAATAAGAAAGCTGATGGTTGCCTAGTTTTCAGATTGAGGTGGTTACAGTGACACATCATGTGGTCAGTCTTCTTCCATAGGGCGTCTCAGGCAAAGGGCAGCTGCTGCCTGGATCCTGGAGCAGCCAGGTACGCTCCTAGCCTGTGGGCAGGCCCTGCTGCCTCAGCTCATCACCATCAGGGGAGGCAGTGGAGCTACGATCCTTCTATAAAAGACTTAAATTCACAGCTGTCTGGTAACAGCCACGATTCCCACTCAAACCCTTGCCTCCAGACATGCTTCTAAGGGGTGTTTTTCACTGTTGGAAAATGTGAATTCAACACCCTGGAACTGTTGTGGCACTACAAACCTTTTCAGAACTAGGACTCTACAGTAGCAGTCAACAGCTCTGTGCATCATTCGTAAGGGGCCTTTCCCTAACCTCACAGCTGTGGTCTGATGTTCTGTTGTTTCTCTTTATCTCCAGAAATGTGGATCTAAGAGAATACTTGTCTGAAGAAGTCCAAGCAGTGCACAAGAACACCACTTATGATCTCATCGCCAACATTGTGCATGATGGCAAGCCCTCTGAGGGCTCATATAGGATCCACGTGCTTCATCATGTGAGTGGCCTCTGACTGGCCTGGGACAGAGCTGCAAAATAGGCGTTGTTCCTGTGGTGTGTTTGGGTTTGCCCTTTCTGGGCCTGGCTTCAGAACTCTATGTACTGGATGGTTTTAGTTTTGTCTTAATGTTAGACACCACTGGGAGGTACCTCAGCCCGGTTACGGTAGACATTAATTTTCAATTGGAGTAGAGGCTGTGAATGCAGCTGCAGATCCTGCGGTGCTGAGCCCATCTCAGTGATTGGCATCAAGGTTAATTACGAGACTCTGCTTTACAGTGTGTGGGTGCAGAATGAGGTGTTGAGTGTTCTAAAGTTCCCTGGTAGGTTCTCCTAGCCAGTCAGGATTGAGAACCTCTGTTCAGGGTCAGAGCCCCACCAGCCCCAGGAGCTGTGGTGCCATCAGAGGGCTCCTTAGGACAGCAGAATTTCAGCCCCCTGGGACACATTGCATCAGCTCTTCATTATTTAACAAGACCCTTTGATATGCATGAGATTAATGTTTGAGAAGCATTGGTTTAGAGACTCCTTACTTTGTCATGATTGTTTTTTTTTTTTTTGGTTTTTTCGAGACAGGGTTTCTCTGTGGTTTTGGAGCCTGTCCTGGAATGTCATGATTGTTTTTAAGACAGGGTCTCATACTGTAGCCCAGGCTGACCTGGAATGTAGGCATAGCCCAGACTGACTGAGAACTTGTGGCAGTTCTTCTGCCATTAGCCTCCCAAGTACTAGGATCGGAGGTATTACTGCCATGCCTAGCTGAGCTAACACATTTTAAGAGTGTATCTAAAGCTGAAAACAAAAGCACACAATATATGTTTAAATGCAGAATTTTAATGTAGGTTATTGTCTGGGACTAATGGTTTACTGTCCTTAAAGCACATCCCTCACACATGAGGAAACCTAGACTTATAGTCTGAGAATTTATCTGAAGTCAGTAACATTGGGATTTGTACTAAGATATTTGGCCTCAAAACCATGCTTAATTAGTCTTAGAACCAGAAGTGAACTTGCTTATATAGGCCCACATTTTCTCTGTAGTCCTATACTCTGAACTTGTGGTATCTGCAGTCTGTCAACACCTGTGTCCTGTTACAACAGTTCTTTCATGTGTTAGGTCTTTTCATGGTAGCATGCTGTGAGGTAGTTTGGCTATGTTGGCGACATTGGTTTGCAGGTAAACTCTAGGTGATGGGCAGTGTCCACCAAGGTGTCTTACCTTTTTCTTTGTTGCTCCTGTCTCTGGGTTGAGGGTATGGAGGAGGGGAATGTTCATTTATATGTTCTTAGCAGCCAGCTTTATGTACTTTCTAGCAGATTTGTCTAATTTACCATTTTTGGACAGGAAAAAGACATTTGAGATTGGAGGGCATTCTCTTTTTCTTGTAAGTGGCCACCTATATCAGTTCCCCTTAAGTGGGTCTGGGGATTTAGCTCATGTGACAGGGTGTCTAGCATGAACAAAACAAACAAAAGTTTGATTCCAGACACCACATGAACTGGGTGTGGTGGTGCCCACCTATAGTGCCAACACTCTTGAGATAGAAGCAGGAGAGTCAGAAGTTCAGAACCTTCCTTGGTTAAAGAGAAAATCTGATGTTAGACTGGACTATGTGAGGACACCCTACACACACACACACACACACACACACACACCCTACACACACATACACACACACGGGGGGGATGCAAAATGTTTGGTACTCCATTGTATTTCAAAGACGCCTTGACAGGAATTGAGGTTATCAGAACTGTTTATTGACTCAGGTCTAGCCAAGGTTTTGACTCTTGTTGATGTTTAGTGGCCATCCTGGGCTGTGATCATTTTCACACCTCTGTTTTTGGAGAGCAGATTAACCCAACCTTTCATGCTTTTGCAGGGAACCGGCAAGTGGTATGAATTACAAGACCTCCAGGTGACTGACATCCTGCCCCAGATGATCACATTGTCCGAGGCCTACATTCAGGTGGGTGTGGCCCAGTAGAATTGATGTAGAGTCTTGATTACAGATCTGGGTGCTTCAGGAGTGCAAGGGGACCAGATTATGTGACCCCAGAAGTTAAACAGATTTTCAGAAAGGAAAAGTACAGAAGCCTGTAAGTCAGCAAGTGTGTTTGTGGCCTTTTGAGTTTAGCAGAGATCTGTAACTTAGTCCCAGGAGATCCAGAGCTGTCTTTTGACATTTGAGCATACCAGGCATGCACATGGTGCATACATAAGTGTAGACAAGACATCCATACACATTAAATAATAAATGAATCTGAAAAAGAATAAAGAAAAGAATGAACAAAAGTTGAGGGTGTGTGGAAACGTGAATGGGATGGAAGGGACTGTGGTGGGGAGTGTGCGTCATTAGTGGGGAAGGCAGCGTGTGTGACAGCGGGCAGGGCGGGGCAGCCTGCTGCTTGCTGCCTGGCAGAGAATAGTTACATGATGGCCGACTGCGGAGCTCATCATTGTTTTCATTTCTGACAGATTTGGAAGAGGCGGGATAATGATGAAACCAACCAGCAGGGGGCTTGAACACCTTGTCTGGGGTTTTACTCCCAAGGGCTGAAGATGTTAAATGAAAATACTGAAGCTGTAACTTCACATGGGCTGACTGAAGATTCCTGCCCCAGCTCAGTTTCTATGGGTCTGCCTGTGCTGTCCTGTGCTGTCCAGTGGTTCTCTGATCAGCACATTGCAGGTGATACTCCTTCCCTTTCAGCGCCAGCAGGCAGAACTCCTACAGATGGATGCCTTACTTGAATTGCTGCAAGTATCAGAGAACAGATAATTCCTTGGAAACATCAAGTCTTGAGATTCTACGAGTGAACATGAAGCTAACAGCATCTTTCTGTCTGTCATAGGTAGATGGTTTTCCTATAGTTCCTTCTCTCCTATGGAACTTTTGGAATGGATTAAATAGCCTCCTGTTTTTAAACCAGCCTTTTGTTTTATATACCTCATTTAGGCTTGAGAAGAGGTTTATTTTCCTTTGTAACTTACACTCTTTCTGCCCTTTCTGCCACGCAGACTGTCATCTCGTGGGCATCATTCTTTTCTCTTCCTATCAGCTTGTGGGTGGTATGTCATTTGGAGTACATTTGTCTCTAAGTAACAAAATATTCACTAAAAATGATAAACTCTTGTGTCTAACTAGAAGGCTAAAGGTAGGCAATTTCAGACTGCAATGCCGCTTTGGAAGGCAGAGATGAAAGAACTAGAAAGCGCTGCTTACAGCAGTGCAGTTCTGAGCAGGTCTTAGCCAGGCCAATGGGGAGCCAGAGCAGAGATTGACTGGCCAAGGAATTGGGTAGAAGCATCTTCTACCAAGCTCAGTCATTGACTCAATAACCTGGAGGATTTGAGCTCTGGCAGGAGCACTGAAGCAAGTCTAAGATGTGGGAAAGGCACTGCAGCAGGAGCAGTCAGCGGATTATGGCAGCTTCTCTTTGAATTTGTCCCCTCCCTCCCTCCCTCCCTCCCTCCCTCCCTCCCTCCTGACAGTCTTGCTCTGTAACCCAGTTGGCCTCTAATTTACCATCTTCCCGTCTCCACCTTTGGAGTGCTGGGATTATAGGCTGTCACTCCCCTTCAGCGGGTCTGAACTGGGGTGCTTCTGCAGCTGTGGCCCATGTTTTGTTTGATGTATTGTTTTACAGATGATAGAAGCTGGAATGTCTCAGGCCCCTCCTCTCACTGTTCACCTCTTCCCTAGGCCATTTCAGCTGTGCCTGTGACTCTGTTTGCCACTCTGAGAGAGGGGACACCTAGAAAGTTCTAACACCACACATCCCTGATTTTTTTTTTTTTTTTTTTTTTGGTTTTTCGAGACAGGGTTTCTCTGTGGCTTTGGAGCCTGTCCTGGAACTAGCTCTGTAGACCAGGCTGGTCTCGAACTCACAGAGATCCGCCTGCCTCTGCCTCCCGAGTGCTGGGATTAAAGGCTTGCGCCACCATCGCCCGGCTCTGAATTCTTGATCTTAAAGCCAGTTGCCTATTTGGTTTGCTTTTTGATGTCTTCAAATCAAATCAAGCTTAGTTGAGAATGTAGTTCAGTTGGTAGAATACTTAATTCGACTAGCATTCACCCTTGGTTTGATCTCTACCACCACATAAACCAGGCATGAAGGCATGTGTTTGTAATCCCAGTATGTGGGAGACGTAGGCAGGAGAACCACAGTCAAGGTCATTCTCAGGTACCTGAGATCCTATCGCAAACAGAACCCTGATCAGTTTTTCAGGAGTCATCCTTTCCTTTTCTTTTCTTTTGGTGTGTGTGTCTGTCTGTCTGTCTGCCAGCCAGAGGAGGTCAGATATCCCACCATTATTCTCTGTCTCATTCTTTTGGGACAGGAATAAACCTAGAGGTAGTCTTTGTACCAGCAAGCCCCCTTGATCCTCTTGCCTTCACCTTGAAACAGTGGTTTGCAGGTGAGCTTGTGTGTCCACAGAAACTCAGTCTCGATGCTTGTGGGGCAGGCGCCCTTTCCCACCGAGCACCTCTCTAGCCCCCTCCTATCCTATTACCAAGTCCTGTTTATTTTCTTTTGCATGTGTTTGTCTCTGCTCCCTCTCTCCCCATCTCCCTCCCTCCCTTTTTTCTTTTCCTCTTTCCCTGTCCTACTTGAGCTAGTGAAATGTTTTGGTGGGTAAAGGTGCATGTTGCCAAGCCTGAGGCCCTGACTTCAGTTCTTGGGATCCACATGGAGAGAACTGATTCCTGCAGTTGTCCCATTCCTAAAAGAGGAAAGTTATTGAGAAAAAATGTTGGCTAGAGAGATGGCTCAGCAGGAGAGAAAGACACATGCCATCTAGACTAGACCGAGTTCTACATGAAAGGAGAGGACTGACTCCTGTAAGTTCTCTGACTGCTACTTTTGCACTGTGGCACACATATGTCCCCCTCCCACACTAAGTAAATGTAACTGAGAACAGTTTAAACATGTGATTAGCAGTGGTGGTAAACACCTGCCTGTGTTGACGTGGGAAGGTTGGGGCTGGGGATGAGCTCAGTGGAGGAACACTTGCCTGGCAGCCCCAGACTCTGTGTTTCCCTCTAAGTGCTCCTCTGGCTTCCATATGCACACACACTCATACACTCATGCACATGCACACTACCCACACAAATGAACACAAACATGCACATAATAAACACATTGGTGTGTACACACATACACAACTCAAACTGCTTCCTGCTGAATGGGGGCGTCGTTAATTAGGTCTTTCATGGTATAACCCGTGTGCTAGTTTCATCTCAGTTGGCACTTGAGTGAAGCAATTTTCTGAAGGTGTTCACAGCAACCCTTCAGGAGGACATGGTCTATCATACCATATTGGGATAGATGCAGTCCACAGACTCTCACCCTCTGTGAAAACAAAATAAGAAACTCCTTTCCAAAGCATCATGTCCTTAGATCCAAATTTCAAAGTCAAGGCATTTTCAAAAGATCTATGTTGGATTAGTTCAGCATTTATAAACAAATATCTTTTAGCAGCTGTTGCTCCTTCCTCAGCATTCAAACAATTCAAAGAGAGCATAATAGCATACAGTATCAAAATTCTCTGTGTATTTTCCATCTTTGTGTGCTTTATTTTAACCTCTATTTTGTTTATTTTTACTTTTATTTTTTGCTTTTTGAGACAGGTTCTCCGTATCTTTGACCTGGAATAACTCTGTAGACCAGGCTGTCCTTGAACTCTCAGAGATCCTCCTGTCTCTGCCTCCCAGGCATTGGGATTAAAGGTGTATGCTTCTACACCTTGAACTCACAGAGATCTGTTTGTCTCTGCCTTCTAGGCACTGGGATTAAAGGTGTGTGCTACCACACCTTGAAGTCACAGAGGTCAATCTCCCTCTGCCTCCCAAGTGTTTGGATTAAAGGTGTGTACTACCACACCCAACTACCCTCTTTCTTCCTTTTTTTACTTTTAAGAACTTTTAACTTTTAGCTTGCATATATTTTTAACACACTGTAAACCATTTAAAAGTTTTCTTTTTTCTTTAAATCTTTTACTGTATATGTCTCTTTTTTGACCACATGAGTCTTTAATTTACCAAGCAATATCAGTAGGACTAAAGCCGTGGCTTAGTTTTCTGCCATTCCAACCTTGTGGCCGAGGTACCGGCATTCAGTGCCACAAGTCTACAGTGTTTCAAGGTCCTTGCCATTAAACAAGCTGCAACAGACAACACTCAAGTCTTCTCTCTGTAGCTGGCCCTCCTGCCTCAAACAGTCAGAGTTTGCCCTGGCAGGATGGCTCAGAAAGCCGGCATTTTAAAACAACACAGGTTTTTTCCTGCTACTGCTGAAAACAAACAAGCATTCAGTCGGCTTTTATCAACACCATTTAAATGTTTCGTGGCAGGACCTCTTAAGAGCTGCAGGATTTTGCAGCTGAAGCTGAGTCAGGAAGCCTCTCTTAGATGAGAGCGCTTGCTTGCTTCTAGCAAGCAGAGCAGACCTGAGAAATCGCTGCTACCAAGAAAACATGCTTTACTCTTTCCCAAGCTTTCTCAGGCTTTCAGTGGATACAGTTGTCCACACGTCTGGGCGCCATTCTGTTGTAATGAGAGCAGCGGGCTGTGTCCCGCCACCCAGCCACCGACATGGCTAGTTTATGCCCCGAAATAATTACAAGGAAACTGTATTCTTTTAAACACTGCCTGGCCCATTAGTTCCAGCCTCTTATTGGCTAGCTCTTACATATTAATCTAACCCATTTCTAATAATCTGTGTAGCCCCACGAGCTGGCTTACCAGGGAAGGTCTTAACTTGCGTCTGTCTGGAGTGGGAGAGTCATGGCGACTCCTTGACTCAGCTTCTTTCTCCCAGCATTCTGTTCTGTTTTCTCCGCCTACCTAATTTTATGTCCTATTAAAGGGCCAAGGCAGTCTCTTTATTTAACCAATGAAATTAACACAAAACAGAAGACTCTTCCCCCATCATGCTGTATAATTTTGCATATGTGCACATAAAAGGTTTGAATAGTATATAATGAAATGCCTTGTGTTGGGGCTGGAGAGATGGCTTAGCAGTTAAGAGCACTGGCTGTTTTTCCAGAGCACTTCGGTTCAAATCCTATCACCTATATGGTAGCTCACAACCATCGATAACTTCACAACCAAAGGCTCTGATGACCTCTTCTGGCCTTTGTGGGCACCAGACACACATGGTTCACAGACATATCTATGGAAAAAAATACCAATAGAAAATAATTAAAACAATTTTTAAAATGGCTTGTGTTGTCTGTTTAAAATTTAGTCATTTGGTACTGGCATAAGAACAGACAAGAGGACCAATGGAACAGAATAGAAGACCCAGATATCAATCTATACATCTTCGAACACCTGATATTTGATAAAGAAGTAAAAAATATCAAATGGAAAAAAGAAAGCATATTTAACAAGTGGTGCTGGCATAACTGGATATCAACATGTAGAAAAATGAAAACAGACCCATATCTATCACTATGTACAAAACTCAAGTCCAAATGGATCAAAGACCTCAACATAAAGCCAGCCATACCAAATCTTACAGAAGAGAAAGTGGGAAGTACACTCGAATGATTGGCACAGGGAACCACTTTCTAAATATAACCCCAGCAGCACAGACACTGAGAGAAACAATAAATGGGACCTCCTGAAACTGAAAAGCTTCTGTAAAGCAAAGGACACGGTCAACAAGACAAAACGACAGCCTACAGAATGGGAGAAGATCTTCACCAACTCCATATCAGACAGAGGTCTGATCTCCAAAATATACAAAGAACTCAAGAAATTGGACACCAAAAGATCATAAATCCAATAAAAAAAAATGGAGTGCAGACCTAAACAGAATTCTCAACAGAGGAATCTAAAATGGCTGAAAGCCACTTAAGGAAATGTTCAACATCCTTAGTCATCAGAGAAATGCAAATCAAAACAACTCTGAGATTCCA